AGCGGGGCACTGAGGATCTTGTTGCTCCGGCTCCAGTTTTAGACCAGATGCACCTACATATTTAAATTGCTATGATATTCATGCAGTGGCGTAACGAACAGAGCCGAGGATGGAGTCTTGAGGTATACTTGGTACTGCGGGGTCCCTTAATTCGCTGTTTGTCATAAATCACGTTTTGCTAATACTATGATGTTGCGTTATCTATCCTGGCCCCCAATAAATGGGGATCTCTTAGTTCTCCTCGTAACCCTACCGAACGCGCGTTAGGTCACTGTATTTATGCCTTCAAATATTAGCTAGGGTATTTCAATTGTTGTATAATTTGTAGCTATGTCAGACTGCATTAAAAACAACGAATTTCAAGCTGAAATGTCCGTCCTAGGATGCGGTCCTTAATTTTGAATAGATTTTAATCAGTAGCTGCTTCGTACGGAGGCCCAGCTAGATAAGTTTATCAGATGTAAATAAATTAGCTATATACACATGGTTTACAAGTACGATATTAATATGTAACACGCAAAATCCCTCAATTCATTTTAAAATCTGGTTTTGTCTGTTTACCTACATTTAAAGACTTCCGACAATTATGCAACTTAATTAGCACCTTGCCAAGGCATATTATGGCTCGTAATGCTAATATATGGCTTGCGAGTTGTTTGGGTGCGCGGTGAAATTTGGCTTATGGAAGCTACAGAAGTATAGTAAAGCACAAATTCTAACCATTTAGTGCATTACCGAAATTCAAAAAACGATAATTTTTTGAAAGAAAGCTTAAGACGTGAAATTTGACGCTAATGGAATAATTGCATGCACTGAATCTTAGGCCCTGTCTACACTAGTGCGTTTTCGTTTGAAAACGCATACATTTCGATGCGTTTAGGCCTTCCGTTCACACTAATACGCTCGAATACGCTCAGCGTATTCACCGAAAACGCATCGATTTGAATACGCTGTTGAAAGTGAATACAAATGAAAACGCATACATATCGTATTAGTGTGAACACTTGAATACGATACTTTTGAAAACGATTACGTCACACGCATCGATTGCCACCAGTGATTGCCACTAATTTCAAGGTCTTAAGTCCGTTATCCGCGGCATAATTCCAACCAAAAAAGGCGGACGAGCACGATATGGAGTTTCTCATGCTTCTAGCAAAACATAATTGTTTGTTTGCAGTTAAATGTTGCGTTGTATAACGCCATGATGGCTTCACACGAAGACAAATAGCTGTCTTACGAACTACATTTATCTGGGCCTTCTACCATATGAACACCTCCTGCTTGTTGTTATTAGCATTCTTTTTAGGTTTATTTTGCTGCGAAGAACTAGACATAATCGACTAAACAAATGCCGAGCATGCGCAAATTAACGTTTTACGTCAGACTACGATCCGATCATCGTATTCAAGCGTTTTAGTGTGAACAGTCGAATACGCTACGAAAACGGTAGTGTGAACGCGAATCGATCGATGCGTTTTCGGTCTTGCGAAACCGCATACAAACGAAAACGCACTAGTGTATACAGGCCCTTAATAGCCTTCTGTCTGCATGACGCTAAGCATAAACCATAACATGAAGCGCACAAAAAATACATTCGATTACGCTAAAACGATATTTCCTTTACAAGCCTTCTACTAAGGAACTGAATACGTTTCTGGGAGTATTTCTGTGTAGCACATTCTGCGCTTTCTTCTACAATGTTGTAACATTGCAAATGTTTAATCTAATATGTTGAACCAAATCCAATGCGATTAAACGAAATTCCGGCAAACGTTTCAACGAACCGTAATTCAAATGGTTGAACGCTTTTGGACCAATTTTCAAACGTTTTTTCCTAAGCGTTCGAACGGGCAATTTCGAACGATGAACGATCTCGAAAATCGTTTCAACGAACGCTTCAAGCGTTTGAACGGCAAACGAACGGATAACGAACGATATTTTCGAACGAACGAAATAGCGTTAACGTATGTTTTCCCGTGGAAGGTCACATATATTGCTTACATAATTCAAAAACGAGACTTAAGGCCCTGTTACACGGTGCAATTTTTCTTGCAACTTGCAATGCAATTCTACTTTTAATTGATATAAATTAGTGAAGTGTCTTCAAAATATTAAGTGTAAGAAACGCTATGGAGTGTAATAAAGACAAAATTTTGTTAGTTGGCAAATTTAGATCCCTCAAAAGAAGAATTGAATTACAAGTTGCAGGAGGGCCGTCAATAACAATGTTTGGCCTATTCATTCAGTAACTTACATACCAACCCTGATCATGTATATGCATTAACTCCTTTAAATCATATGTCACATCCCATGTCTCACCGGCATCAATCAATCACATGCGAAGGGATGCCAAATACGAGTTCATTATTTTCTACCGTGTTCTTATACAAAAATACTAAAATATTTTATATTTATCATTTTCACTCTGACTGAACGTCAGTTGTCTATAATTGTATCTAACGCAAATGGAAATTTGCTTTCCTTTGGGCACAAAAAATAAAGTTCGTGCACACGACACTGAATCGCTTCCTCAGTTTGTATCAGAAGTATACAAATGTTCATGTAAACATGCAATGTTTGGCTTCAAACGTCCGATAGTTTCCCACTTCCTGCTCCGGATGTGCTTAAACAAATTAAAGTCAAACTAAATTGCCTGACCAATTAACAACCCACGGAATATGTATCTTAAACTATAAACTATTACTCATTACTGTTTGTGGTTATATATGGAGTTCTATGGAGTCCGTATATAGTTATTACACAGAAGAAAGATCAAATGAAACAAACGTGCGGTAATAGTTTCTACGATTTCTCGACGTTTTTCAATCATGCTAAGCAGTATTGCTATTTCTGATTTCCGTGTTCTAGTAAACACCGAGCTTAGAGCGGCAAAAAACATCACATCGCGCCTCTTATAGCAAAGGTTGTGCTATTCATGACTTCACTGCTTGGAAGCGAACGTATACCATCGCAATACCGAGGTAGCGTCGCCGCATAATTTGAAATACCACTTGAATTCTCGTATCCTTTAATGCACATATAAATCCTTTGAGGTGAATAAAGAGATGAATTCTATAATTGCCGTATTTCTAATGTTACAATTTTGTATACTCTGAGAAGGGTCCTAAAGTGGGGGGGTTATTGTCCCTGAAATGACGAAATCCCATTTCCCACGTCAAATTTTCGCAAATTCCAGTAGGAGTTGGACTTTTCAAAGAAACCCCAGTCAGCTGAGTTGCATGTGTATTAATCCAAGGAAATCCCAGGTCAAATCCCATTTCCAGGAACTAAATCCCATTTTCCCAGCGTAATTAAATTGGAGCAATCCCAGTTCCCATTTTCCCATTCCGTGACCCTCTTAAGCAAATCATCGTGTTTATAGGAATAACTTGGCAGGTGAATCCCAACTGAAAACACATGAACAATTAAATGTGATTGACGTGTTTGCAATTGGAATTTTCCGATCCATTTAAGCATATCGAGTTCATCTTTGATATCATTAGTAAATTCCTTAGTAATTTCATCTGAAAAAAGAGCTGAAACATGAAGATAATATTTTCTTTCGGAACATATAAATATCAAACTAGGAGAAAGTTGTAATTTGGTTCACTTTCATTTCACCAGGGTCCAGGTATGAAGTATTTGCCACATCGATGTGAAAACTGCTAAACTGCTGGTGTTTACATAACACAGGTCAATTCAATGTCGATCATTTAGTAGTGCGCAAAAACGCAAGGTCGACGTACTTGTAATTATGCGGCTGTGTACCATATATATTCAATTTAAACGTTGCAATATAAGCATTGAATTCATTTCGAAATCAAACTTTTAGGCAACGTCTTTAAATGAATGAAGTTAGCTTTCCCTATACGAATTCCACTGTTATATACATAAGAGAGAAAATCAAGTATACTGTATGGTCATATTAGTAGGTGACATTTTTCAAAGAAATTGTCTGTATTTTCCAGGAAAACTAAAGCAAAGCGAGATTAACGTCGTCCGGAATACAGCAATTTGCATGATTAATTGGTCGGCTTTTCTAACAGTTTTCATCACTTTCAAAATATATCTTATTAAATTCCTTAGTAATTTCATCTGAAAGAAGAGCTGAAACAGAATTAAGATAATATTTTATTTCGGAACATATAAATATCAAACAATGAGAAAGTTGTAATTTGGTTCATTTTCATTTCACCAGGGTCCAGGTATGAAGTATTTGCCACATCGATGTGAAAACTCCTAAACTGCAGGTGTTTACATAACACTGTATAATTAGGTCAATTCCATGCCGATTATTTTGCAGTGCGCAAAAACGCAAGGTCGACGTACTTGTAATTATGTGGCTGTGTACCATATATATTCAGTTGAAACGTTGCAAAATAAGCATTGAATTCATTTCGAAATCAAACTTTTAGGCAACGTCTTTAAATGAATGACGTTAGCTTTCCCTATAGCTACTGATTCCACCGTTATATACATAAGAGAGAAAATCAAGTATACTGTATGGTCATATTATTAGGCGCCATTTTTCAAAGAAATTGTCTGTATTTTCCAGGAAAACTAAAGCTAAGCGCGAATCACGTGGTCGGGAATACAGCAATTTGCATGATTAATTGGTCGGCTTTTCTAAGAGTTTTCATCACTTTCAAAATATATCTTATTAAATTCCTTAGTAATTCATTTGAAGGAAGAGTTGAAAGGGGAAGATAATATTTTATTTCGGAACATATAAATATCAAATAAGGACTGAGAAAGTTAGTAATTTGGTTTATTTTCATCTCACCAGGTATGAAGTCTTTGCACATCGATGTGGAAACTGTTAAAACTGCATGTGTTTATATGTATAACACTGTATATGTCAATTGCATGCATGTCGATTTTTTAATAACATTGAAGTACGTAGACACAACTATAAGGTTGCAAGAATTTTATAAGAACGCAGGTGAATCTACGTTTTGCTATATTTGTATTTAGTTAATCATATAGGACATATGATCATGGCGCAAGTCAAGTTGGCGATTTTGGTGTTGGTATTTTTAGCACATACAATGAGCATCAAAGCTGGTACAAACTTTGATGCGAGTTGGACGCATAGCTGCCCATCAGGTATGTCAACAAACAGTAGATCGCTATTACTAGCTATAGGGTCGACGAACATACCTGATCTCTTGAATTCTTACACTCGCCTATACGCCGGCACCAAAATGTCTCAAACCTCAATAACTTATAAAACGTTTAGGCTTCTCAAGTTAAACTGCATTTTTGAATTCAGTTGCCTATTTTTTTGTGCGCAAATTTTATGTGCTTGCAAAAACACCATTTTTTCGCATGAAGGTCTCGAACTACCTAAGCAATACCAAAATAAACCTCTGCCGAGACTACGTGTATACCTAGAGGTTGTTAATAATGTGTAAACTTTTTCGGATACACCATGTATAGGTCAGTCTATCTCACATATCAGCAGTGTCCATAGCAACCGACATGAAGATCGCTCATGGACATGGAGGTGCCGAAATTCCCCTGTAATACAAAGTTCATGTTCATGGTCTGGGTATGTTAATTTGATGGACGAAATAATGCTCTACCAATGTTCAAATGGAGTTATTGCAGGTTAGTGTCACCAGCAGTCTTCCTCGAATAGCAAGGGGTGTTCACAATTTGTCGTAATCTGATTCGATGAAAGCATGAAGCATTCGCAACACGTTTTTGGGAAAGAAAGCCATTAAGATTTAAATGCTGGTAAGCCTGGGTGCTAACCATTCACCCCAGAAAATTGAAAATTTCAGTCGGAAAAGCAAATGGTACAAGGAATCTCCATCGAAAATTTCCGAAACTTCCTTACTTCTCCTTGGAAATTCCTTGTACCATTTGCTTTTCCGACAAGAATTTCCGATTTCGGAAAGTAAATGGTAAGCACCCTTGTATCTTGATGAGAAGACATACTGTGTTGTAAGGAGCTGGAAATGATTAATTTTTCTATTAAGAATAGACTTCACCCCAAAACCCGAGATTGTACTACTCCAGTCTTTTTTGAGGCCATTGACCACAGTTTGAAACGCAGCGTCTTTTAAAATGATTTTAATTTATGAATTGATTTTTCAGGCGTGGAATCGTATCATAGTAACAGACATGAAGATAGAAGATTCAAATTCGAATGCTGCGAAACCGATTGTTACAACCGTACTCAGTGTTCTTGGACTCCATTTGTCAATGACTGGGATGATTTTTTGAGCTATGACGTGCCTACGAATTATTATCTTGTTGGTGCATTTAGTATTCACAGCAATTCCAAAGAGTAAGTTCATAAAAATGTTATATTGGGTTGTTAGTTTTGGAGAAAAACGTAAAAATGATAGTGGAAAATCCACGGATGTATGTCAATTTTCATCAGCATTGCAAGATATGCATGATTTTGGTCACATGCATGAAGCTAATAAAGTCTAATATCGAACTCAAATTATTAATTAATAAGCAGAAGTTGATCCAATAAATAAATGAACACATTATTATATCTTGCGCACTTTAAGCTGTCATGAAGTTTCAATTTTATGAAAACTCGTTGGTCAGTACACTAAAACCTTTTATGCTGTTGGTTTATCTCTTGATCGTAGTAAGAATAAACTGATTTACGGGCAACAACCACTTCCATTAGTTGAAAAAATAAAATGCATTACTTAATTAAGCTAATGAAACTTGAAATTTCTTGAAATAGAAAACGCTTGTACCAAGCATCCCATTTAATGACTGACTTGTCATATAGCTCATAGCTTCCACTTTTTTTCATGACGTCATCTTAGTAATCATTGCTGTACATTCTTAGGGACAGAAGATGGAGATTCCTCGTATGTTGACAAAGTTGATTGAATCAAATGTTTTATCTCTTTCGAATTTACTTTAAATTTTATATACTCTCTCGACAATAGAGGCTTTGTACGGCCACGTAAGTAACCTGGTTCTTAAATGTTAAAAAATAAACCACTGTTTGTTGTTTAAATTATCTCAGTGTTTTTTCTTATCCTAAAAGCCATTCTGCCGTTATTTTGAGGAAACAGCTCTGGTTTTAATGCTGACGTCAGCAGTATATCAAACCCGCTTAAATCGTCGGGGGGGGGAATGCACTGGTAATTTGTAAGGAAATACAAGATTTGTTAAACAGTTAGCTGCATACGTTACAATTTATGGGAATTTAGACAATGTTCACATGACCCAAACAGACCGAATAGTTTGAAATAAAAAAGCTAGGAAAACTTTGATGTATCGTTTGCACTTGACTATTGTGAACTTCTCGTTGTACTACCTCGTTCCCAGGGCCTTATACCTTAATTCTGGGTTGGGATAAAAGGCAATCCGCTTCTAACTTTTGATTCGTTAAATGATTTTTCCTAATTTATGTGTAATTAGCGGAATTTTTGTAATTATTCCGAAATAGTACAATTCCAACATTCTTTAATGGTACAATATTATCCGTTCGACGCGATGCCGCCATTTTGAAAAAAATTAGGCAAAATTTTATTACAAATTATGCTTATTGAAAATGGTCGATCTCCAGGCCTATCCTATTCGGAACGAGGTTGCTCGTTGTACAATCGTGACTGGCTACGTCACCAGTACGTTATTGCTAGTAGTATAGGTTACCATGCAGTCTACTAATATGATTACCCTAAGTATTATACCCAAACAAAGGAATATGTGAATAAACGTAGTCTTGAACAAAAAAAAGCGGTTTTGAGCAGCTGTTTTGTATTCTTAAAGACGCTTCTGTTAATGAAAATCTGAAATAAGATCAAAACGAAGCACGTCAAAATTACCTAAATCAGTTAGCTATGTTGCAAATTATTTCACTAAGAATCCCTATGAGTGCCCTTCTTATGCCTTCAATTATCTAAAACGAGTTACGGGGAAAAATAGTTATGCGGAAGTCGTTTTAATGGATAATAGTTAATATGTACCAGAAATACACGCATACCGCTGCCACTTGTAAGAAATAATCTTTTCTTAAAAGACTCTTCTATTCAGATTCAGATTCCATTCATCTTTAACACAATGATTTACTTACGAATAATACACCTACAAAACAGGTATTTTACAACACTTCAAACTCCAAAATACCTCATTAATATTCCATTTGTTTCATGCATGACGTCACCTTAGATCCCATCTCTCACACTCCTCGCTATGTCAAATAAAGCAAGAATTTCCCGAGCTATCCTCAAATGAGTCGATAGCTTTCCATGATTCGGAACCAAATGTAATCATAAAAGTGAGTTTCTTAGTGTTTGTTCAATTTTTCTACATTTTGTTTCAATTATAATTAAAACATTTCTAAAAAAAGAGTTTGCAAAATGACGTAAAATTACTGACGTTCTTATGAAAACACAAACTTTTTGTTTTATCCAATCAGAATGTCCTCATTATCAGTCTCTACTTGTTCAAATGTCGCGCATGCGCAAAACAACCATTGCTTATTGAATGAACACTTCGATTATATTGAGTTTGGACAAGTTTGGGTTGTTCAGTAAAAATACCAAATTTACTTAATCTAGATTTTTAAGCCAAATTACCTATAGTATCCTTGCTCCGCGCCGGCTCGGTGATTATGTTTGCGGCCTGTTCCTTTTTTGGGACACTCTGTATTTTATTATTTTGGATTTTCATAAAAGAGCAGCCAGGAAATGAAGCGGCTCAAAACGGTGGCAAAGTATGATTGAAGATGAAGCTACTTAACATTAAATTTTAAGCTTTTGCTTAATACCTCATACATACGAACTACGTCTAAACCACCTGATTAATACGTGATGATAAGAACAAACAAAAGATTTTAGTTCCAAATATCTCTGAGTATACAAAACGTTTTAGTTCCATTGTAAGTGCATGGTTTTTGATAACAACTTTATAAAAGCTTTTGTCATCATATTTGTATCAAAATAATTGTGTCATACAAAAACAAAACATTCATGATTCTAGCTGACACAGCGCGTCTATTATTGTTTTACGTTGAATTCAGAGTTTCAACTCACTGTTATGAAAATGGTAGCTACATATAGATTATACGGTTTAGGCCGAAAATTTGATAAATTACGTGCTAATTCTATAAAATAAATTATAATCACAGTGTATACCCTACACTTTATTTGATTTATTGGCGATATGAGCTTTGCACCAAAAACCTGATGCAACGCCATTAAAAATTTAGGACGAAGATTTTCAAGATGAAAACACTTTTAAAAACCTTTCGAAAAGAACTCTTCCATGGCCATGCATGTGTGTGAATTAACGAAATTTAAGCTTAATCCTTTTGCTGATTACTGATTAGAGATTCTTATGAAAGCAGTGCACAATACCTGGCCAAAAGCAACTGTTTTAAAGTTTCTAAGTCATTTTCTGCAACTATAATCGATATACAAAATCAAACGGAACACGTTCAATAAGTCAAAGGACCAAGTTCAACAATGCATTCAAGATGACACTCATTGTCGAAGCAAGTTTTTTAACAACGGATTTCCTCTATAAATAACACCTATATTGGTGATGTCTGTCGTTTTCGCAAGCTATACAACGATTCTTTGTTATAGCTTTGCAAACTATAATAAAATACCAATCTTTAAATTAGGCGGTGCATTCTCGGTTGTATGACTAGTTTATTAGTTTGATGACTGTTGTCATAGGTTTGAGCAATAATGTGCGTCACCTTGAACGCTGTCAAAATTGAAAACCTGAGTATACATACTTATATGCACATGAAATGTTGCTAATACCAAGATACGATATATTATTATATAATTTATAATACTGCATAAAGCTCTCGGTGATTTACACTACTAACAATTTGTGGATCTTTTTAGTCATGATCAGCAAATCGTCTATATACATTTAACTATTTTCGCTTAAGTATAATCGGGTGCTTGTCTATTTATATAATTATTCCATGGCACTGAAACAATAGACGTTTTTCTAATCTTAACTCCTTGAAGCGTTCTTTCTAATTCAAAATCATATACAGTTTAAAAGCTTGCGTGTCGTTATTGTAACATTTCAATCGGCCGCTTGTAAATTTCACAAATAGAGGAAATTAACAGGAGACACTAACCATGACGGAGATTTTACAAAAAAGAGAACTTAATTAACTTCCTAGATTGCTAGGAAGGCCGTCTGTCGTTTCTCGTCTGATACTGATTTTGTGTGTACTCTTGTACAAACTTTCTTTTAATTGCATGTGGTTTGTAAGGTACTGTTAACTGTTTATTTATTGATAGCCCAGCGTACATACTGTAATTATGACCATGGTTATAATAATAATATATATAGTTGTAGGTATATATACATGTAAGGTATACGTATACTTCTATGAATTTAAAATACAACACAGAAATATACAAACCATGCATGCAATAGCTTGGAAGGGTAAATGCATTAAATGAATAAAAAAAGTACTAAAACTATTAAATAAATAAATAAAAACACATTTATTATAAATACGTGCATTCGTGCATGCTTGCTCAAATATTTCTCCTATTACAGTTCAGAGAAATTGTCTATGACAATTTTTGCGTAAAATGGTACAACATTTCGTTTAAAGCAGTCGTTTTAAATTTTCAACGCAATTTTGGGCCATATAAATCTGCATACAAAGTGAAACGGAACACGTCCAAGGCTAACAACACACTCAACTGAATGACGCTAATTTGTCTGGCAAATTTCTACACTATATGCATATCGTTTAAGTGGTCTCTTTGAATTAAGGGGCGCCTAGAGAGATCTGCGCTAAATTTCCTTTCAACTATCTAATGTCATTTATTTGGGCATAAAATTTCACAAATGGAGAGAAATATATTACAAGAAACACTAAACGACGAGATATTAACACAAAAAAATGGTAAATTCCTGGTTGGCCTCGAATAAGGTTTGCCGACTCGCGATTTTTGTCGTCCTCATTGAATGGGGTTTTACAAATTTTGGTGAAATTTTTATTTAAGTGCGGGTTAATAACAGCAGAATTAGTGCCAGTTTGAAATTAGCTGGATTGAATTGATTATTGCCTTTTAATTTAATCAAGTGTAAAATTACACGCTATGTTTTAAGGACAATCTAAACAATGCATAGCTTGGAAGGATAAATGTATTAAATAAATAAAAAAAGTACTAAAAGTATTAAAATAAATAAATAAAAACACATTTATTATAAATGTGTGCATTTCTGCATGTTTGCTCAAATATTTTTCCTATTACAGTTCATAGAAATTGTCTATGACAATTTTTGAGTAAAATGTTACAACATTTCGTTTGAAGCAGTGGTTTTAAATTTTCAACGCAATTTTGGGCCGTATAAATCTGCATACAAAGTGCAACGGAACACGTCCAAGGTTAACAACACACTCAACTGAATGACGCTAAATTGTCTGGCAAATTTCTAAACTATATGCATATTGTTTAAGTGGTCTCTCCGAATTAAGGGGCGTCTACAGAGATATGCACTAAATTTCCTTTCAACTATCTAATGTCATTTATTTGCAACAGGATTGATTTATATTACAACAGGAGAAAAATATATAACAAGAAACACTAAACGACGAGATCTTAACACAAAAAAATGGTAAATTCCTGGTTTGCCTCGAATAAGGTTTGCCGACTCGCGATTTTTGTCGTCCTCATTGAATGGGGTTTTACAAACTTTAGTGAAATTTTTATTTAAGTGCGGGTTAATAACAGCAGAATTAGTGCCAGTTTGAAATTAGCTGGATTGAATTGATTATTGCCTTTTAATTTAACCAAGTGTAAAATTACACGCTATGTTTTAAAGACAATTTAAACAAAGGCGTTTTTATACAAACGTTCACAAACGTACGTTATCTGCCCAGACAGTAACTAGGTTAATGTCACATAATTATTCTCAGTTTTGCCTAATGGCACATTACTCTATAACACGTAAATCTAGGCTGAGTTAGTGATCATGCTGCTAAAACCATGTGTTACGACAAAAGCTTTAGTAGTTTGTAAAAATATTTATTGTTGACCAAACTATGAGATTACAAGTGTGCTTTTTTCTGCTAAGAGGTTTTTTGGGATCCAAAACTTTTTATATTTTTTACACATATCCTGTAGTCTGAAGAGGACTTCCGTCTTTGGTATATGTGATCAAGTTTGTGTATATTGCTTTGCATAACACGAAACATTTTAAAGCAATAAGGTTGCTCTATAAGTGTTTAGTAGCTAGAACTTTAAATATAATCCCTTAAAGCACTTTCAATAGATTCTTACGATAATTAATTACGTCACAACATTATCGTTTTAAATTTAGAACAATCTTAAATCAGATGCATTTCAGGTTTAGTCTCACAAGCCATGCGCTAAAATGTAAAAAACATCGTTCTTCAAGACATGCATGCAAAAGAGCTTTTAATGTTTACAAATAAGTGTGGAAATAAGCCGTAAGACGAGAACGAGGCTCCTGCTCGTTGTCTGCATGGTAGCCTCGTTTTAGTGTTACAGCTTATTGTCGCATTAATTAGTCAAAGTTAAAAATTATTTTTCATGCATGTGTTGAAGAAAGATGTTTTGCATCTGTTCACGTGGCTCGTCGGAAATCTCTTTCAGTACAAAGAATTTCAGTAATTTCTTTATTTTAGCTTCCAAAAAGTATCTTACACGACAAAAGAGTTTAGTTCTTTATTTACATTTAATGTAAAAAGAGATTTTGTGTATATCACAAAAAACCTTTTGATATATTCATTGGAGTTAATTTCCCCGATTCGTTTATAATTGGTTTGTTTTGCATCCTTATCTTATACAAAATGTCTTTCTAATTCCTGCTAAAAAAGGGCAAAACAAATAAAGTCTGTTCCATTCCCAAACATATAAATATCACAAACACCTGCTTGTAGCAGGTGCGTTCACATCAACATTGTAAGGTACGAAAGTATAGTGTGTATTGAATATACTGAACATAGTAATTATTAACGTGAGAACTTTTATTCAATTTTTGTAGCAGGAGTAACATTTTGAACTGTTTGTCGACGCTCTTTGGTAAGTGTTTTATTTAAAATCGTTTTCTGAAGTTTCATAATGTTCCTATAATTGATCTGCATCGTTATTCAAGCAAAAGTATGTACAGTGAGATCGTTATTCAAGCAAAAGTATGTACGGTTCCAACTAGTAAAAAGAGACTACAAAAAGAGTTGTTTTTCCCCAAAATACACTTTGTTATATAATTCTCCCTCATTTTCGGCACAAAATTTTGTTTCGAAATCATTCGTTTTGTTATCATGTATCACCCCACAGCAGGTACTTTGGCAGCGGTACTAATTCTGCAAGAGGCCGGTTGATTACGCTGGTATCGAGTTCTGAATTAATGCAAAATTAATGCTGCACTAAAGTCGCGGAAGTATAGTCCAGGTATAACTGGTATTTCAATATTATTCAATATTTTAAAAATTAATTATCTTTCTATTACGGATCACCCGTAACCGAAAATCTAGTAATTCAGGGAACTTATTTCCTAGAATTTAACAATTTTAAGACTGTATAGGGAGCCACGGCAGGCAGTTTGTGAATGTGATAATTTCAAACTGAGCTACCATGCATGCTACCAGTACAAATTTGTCACTTCGTAGTGCCGTCTATCAATACATTATATACACGCTCACACGATTAAAAGATGGTTTCACAATACTCTTCTAATATATGATTTTTATAAGGTAATACTTTATAAAAACATATATCAATTGGTTGAGCCAGGTGGGGAGATTCTGCATTAATATATTGCCAGATAAATGTATCTAGCTAATAAAATTAATTATACACTGCACTTGTACTTTTCGACTGTGGCTCAGATTCAAGATGCTGGAGTGTTTATAATAAAAAAGTCTTTGTGAGTTGGATAAAGATTAAGGTTTAAAAGCAATACCACACTCAGACTGATTGAGTATATGACATAGAAATTTTGTTATTATTGATCAATGAGAACGTTCTTTCTTAACAACCCTTTGCATGGTAATGGTACCAACAGGGGCCAAAATGACCCGGTAAATGTTGTGTCCATTTTAAACCCCGTACATGCATAAATATCCCTATATAGTCATGCGCAGCTATCAGTGCATTTAGATAAACACTTTCTGATTCAATTTGTGCGAATTTTTACAAAAATATAACGAAATACTGCGGGGTTTTTGTTGGAAATTAGTAATTTGATACTTTTGGACTTTGAAAATGGCGTTCAATAATAGCCTTTTCACTTTGGATGAAGTTATGAAGCGAATTGAGGCAGATAATAACGGAGATTCAGACGAAGAGAGCGATGTTGGTGTCGGGGATCCATCCCGTAACTCGTTATGTTACGTACAAATTACATCACCAGACTTTATATCTAACTCGTCGAGGCATGTGTTTAAGTATAGCGATTTATTAATCCAATAAAGCTGCCTGAACACAGACCTTCGTTTCGCCCGCCTTAGAATTCGCGGGGAGAAGCGAAGGCGAAACAAAGGTCTGAGGGACTTGCATATACAGTACTGTCCAGAAATAACCTAACACTGCGTTGCGGTTTGGCTGTCGTTAGGTCGCGGTTCGGTCGCGGTAAACCGATAGAGACCACAGACGACCGCAAGGGGGAAAATACAATCGCGGTGGCCGTTCGCTTCCGAACGGAATGTTATGAACTGTTGAGAACGACAAAACAATAATCATGTCGAAAGCTTCTTAAAAAATGTCTGTCAGTCAACTTTTTTGGCCTCAGACCATTGCTTCGCCTTCCCGTCTCCCAAAGAATTTTGAGGCGAGCGAAACGAGGGACTGTGTTAGATTGGGGTTTTTTAGCTTTCCAACATTTTTCATTCCATAATATTAATATCTAACATTTTTTTAAGATTGCAAAAATGATGAAACTACTCTGTTTGGTTTTTTTGGTTTGTGTATTGGCCTATGAAATTGAAGGCTGGAGAACTCGTCGTTGGCGAGTCCGCAAAATTGTCAGAGTGCCGCGCGTACGGAGAGTAGTACCACGTATTCGTTTGCGTCCTATCAGGGTGCGACGTTTACGACCGCGTTTGAGATTCCGACGAAGATTTCGTGTGCGGCGTTTGGTGCCGGGTATACGACTGCGGAGGTTAGGCCTGCCGAGTATCAGAAGGATCGGTTCGTGTTTGAAACCTGCCCTTCAAATATACAAAAAACTGCAGAAAACGTTCTATGGTGCTTACAAGAGGGTTTGCGGTGATCGAAAGAGGCACAGCTGCGGTTTCAAGTTGTATACACGAGCGAGATCCGTCTGCAGTGGCCTATCGTGCTTCAAGCGAAATTTTGGTTCGCGGTTTGGCATCGGGAAAAGATCTATCGAGTTCGACGCAGGTAAATATTCGCATCACAACTTTTTGGTGCATGGCATGCAAATCGAGCTCTGTACGGGGCGTCTCTATAATAATTATTAAGGACCTTTATAAAAGGTCTTTGTTATTAGTTTGCAGCTAGACATTGGAGTGTCGTGCCAGTTAGTTGTATTAGAGTTGACCCTATTTACTGAGAACCATCCTTCGTTCTGACGCTCAGGGTTACAAGGGCATTTTTTATGCATGGCAAACATCTATCTCTTAATTGGTACAAAGTTTTTTAGGCCGAAACGTCGAGTTTATGATTATTGGGCGTGAAAAATATAACAAATATCCATGCAAACATAATTAATTTCCGAAAAGCTTTGCATTCATGGGCGTAACTAGAACGATAATTGAGGATCGGGTGGAGAATATTGATATAATATTCTGTTCTTCCCGACGGATTTCTATTGTAAGCTATTGCACTTACAAAGGAAATGGTTCGGGCAGATTCGGATATGTAAATATTCAATCCAACTATCGTTTTAGTTACGTCACTGTTTGCACTAACGATCCATGCATGTAGTAGCCTATAACTCTAAGGCACAGTTCAAAACAAAACGGTAATGACTTATTGTAATTTTCTTTACTAAGGAATGGCAGACTCCGAAAAAACTAATAGCAAAAGAGGCATTGTGACCGCCGCCAGTATTGGGTACACGGTCTATAAAGGAGTTACTCTTCACCAGAAATGCTGCAAGAGAGGGTGTTTGGACGCCGAACTAGCTGAATATTGTATATCACTTGCATTTAAAGGATATCGCGGATAATCACGAGCTAAAAATAGATATTGAACGAATATATAATGAAGCGGATGAACTTATAGTTTCTAGTAATAGTATGAACGTGTACTGATAGCTATATGCCTATATAGAGGACTATAGAACATATAATTTGCGATTCATAGTCTCCTAGCTGAGAAATAATTATAAAGTTATTCGTAAGTTTAATCATTAAAAGCAATGTTTTGTTGTACAAACTATTTTGATTCATTACGTCTCTATCTATTTTCATTTCAATTCGAATTATACGGTAAATTAAGATCTCGGATTTTGAAAGAACTCGAATTAATTTTTAGGTCTGTTTGTGATAAATATGTACATATAGTCATTCACAAGATTGAAAAGGCAGAAGGAGATAAGAGTTCTACATGCATGCAGTCAGGAATTCCCAGACACCTCTTTAGCAGATAATAGTGAGCTGAAGCAAGTGACGTCTTTGACAACACAAATGGCATGAGTAACGTTAAAAGACTGGGTCAGTCGGTCAGGGATTGTGATCGGTGAAAAACAAAAACTTTACTTCCGGTCAACGTATACGTGCTGTCGAAAACGTCACTTGCTCAAGCTGACTAATCAGTACCGTCGTTAACATCTAAGCGTGTACACGTGATCATGCATAAAATATTTTTAAATTAGATTCAAAGTTGTAACGTTTTGGCGGTAAAGACAATTAATTTTGTTTCAAGCGATAAAAGTTCAATTGCTATACGCAATGTACTCACCCAACTGATGTTGGAAGAAATTACAGCTAATTTACCATTATAATTTCTTCCAAATTTGTTGACTGAATGCGCTGTTGTTGAAACAAGTAGTCTTTACCGCCAAACGTTATAACCTTGAATTATTTAAAACATATCTTATGATCACGCGTGTACACGCTTAGATGCAGGTAAAGACGGTAAAGTTTGGTAAGAACAATGAGATATCCCGCAAATATTGGCTTCACAAAAACAACGAGGAGGTATAGTTACAGTTATTTATATACAGTTCACTGGGTGCCGCAGAACGTTATTTCTGTGCAACGTATCTGTTCCGTAATACGAAGGAATACATGCCGCTGAGAAGGTTTCGAAATCTTGGCAAAGAGATTGTGGAAAGTAATTTTGCTATATATAAAAAGGATATACTCTCATTATCCAACTGCTTCTCACTGATATATGTTATTTCTACTGCATGCGGAAATGCTTTGCCTTGTCTGTAATAATTACATTCAATGCATCATGCAAATATTTTCAATATAAAATATTTTAAAATAATTTCAATGCATCATGCAAGAGGGGCCAGTTGTATAAGAGGATAGGTAACTTTTAACTTTGGTCAATCAGAATTCGCCAATCAGACTTGTATAATTATTTTTAAGTGAATTAGGATTTGACTATTCAAAATGTGGGTAAAGAGTTTTAAACAAACGGCCCCTGTACTTCAGGTCAGTACTTCAGTAGCTACTTTAGTCGAGTATTTTAGTTCACTTAATCCACCCACATGCAAATTTAGCTTTGTGAGCTAAAGCCCATGCATCCAATAATACAAATAATATTATTATAATGTACCACAAAATCTCAGTTGAGTTAACTTCGCATTTAAGGCAGGGAAACCGTATCCATCAATCGTAATTAATTTTACAAGGCTAAAAACTAATCAAAACCGCCATTTGAAGAGCAAATTTCATAGAATAATGTAAGATAAAAGCTAATGAAAGAAATCAGTCGGGCATGTGAATATATGAATACACAAACTCTATAGTTACGTTTCTAGCGATGGTTCGGATCGAAATTGATAGTCATGTACATGCAAATGTCTTTCACGCAGTCACTGTGTCCCAAAACAGCAATCTTCCCAACAAGTGCTGCTGGCATGATATTCGTCATTAATTTTGTTTGTTCCTGGTGTTACGACGTCATTGCTCTCAATTCCTCTCCAGCAAGTGTGATCATGCAATATTGCGCGTATTGCAAGACGCCATGTTAGATAAAATAATTGAGGACACGTAATGATGAAAACAATAGCTATTTTAATTGTTGCGCCCATTTCAACAGATAAATGAGTATCTAAAAGTCTCTTCGTGGACGCACGTGTGTGTAAATCAAATTTCGAACTGAATTCTTATATAGCATTCCTGTATATTGGTAATGGATATGTTAACAATCCACGCTGCTAGTAAATGCAATTGATCCATGTTAATATCGATATTATTTTTCTAAAAAAGAAACTAGAGGATTCTGTGATTTTTCAGAAGCTAAGATTATGATGAAAATTGTTAAATACATATTTCTTTCGTAGTTTTTCCATTATTTCGAATTATTTTGAACTTTGGTAGAGTTTAGAAAGTATATATTTATTGTACATTTTTGGTACCCTATATGTGACCTTCCACGGGAAAACATACGTTAACGCTATTTCGTTCGTTCGAAAATATCGTTCGTTATCCGTTCGTTTGCCGTTCAAACGCTTGAAGCGTTCGTTGAAACGATTTTCGAGATCGTTCATCGTTCGAAATTGCCCGTTCGAACGCTTAGGAAAAAACGTTTGAAAATTGGTCCAAAAGCGTTCAACCATTTGAATTACGGTTCGTTGAAACGTTTGCCGGAATTTCGTTTAATCGCATTGGATTTGGTTCAACATATTAGATTAAACATTTGCAATGTTACAACATTGTAGAAGAAAGCGCAGAATGTGCTACACAGAAATACTCCCAGAAACGTATTCAGTTCCTTAGTAGAAGGCTTGTAAAGGAAATATCGTTTTAGCGTAATCGAATGTATTTTTTGTGCGCTTCATGTTATGGTTTATGCTTAGCGTCATGCAGACAGAAGGCTATTAAGGGCCTGTATACACTAGTGCGTTTTCGTTTGTATGCGGTTTCGCAAGACCGAAAACGCATCGATCGATTCGCGTTCACACTACCGTTTTCGTAGCGTATTCGACTGTTCACACTAAAACGCTTGAATACGATGATCGGATCGTAGTCTGACGTAAAACGTTAATTTGCGCATGCTCGGCATTTGTTTAGTCGATTATGTCTAGTTCTTCGCAGCAAAATAAACCTAAAAAGAATGCTAATAACAACAAGCAGGAGGTGTTCATATGGTAGAAGGCCCAGATAAAATGTATGTTCGTAAGACAGCTATTTGTCTTCGGTGTGAAGCCATCATGGCGTTATACAACGCAACATTTAACTGCAAACAAACAATTATGTTTGCTAGAAGCATGAGAAACTCCATATCGTGCTCGTCCGCCTTTTTTGGTTGGAATTATGCCGCGGATAACGGACTTAAGACCTTGAAATTAGTGGCAATCACTGGTGGCAATCGATGCGTGTGACGTAATCGTTTTCAAAAGTATCGTATTCAAGTGTTCACACTAATACGATATGTATGCGTTTTCATTTGTATTCACTTTCAACAGCGTATTCAAATCGATGCGTTTTCGGTGAATACGCTGAGCGTATTCGAGCGTATTAGTGTGAACGGAAGGCCTAAACGCATCGAAATGTATGCGTTTTCAAACGAAAACGCACTAGTGTAGACAGGGCCTAAGATTCAGTGCATGCAATTATTCCATTAGCGTCAAATTTCACGTCTTAAGCTTTCTTTCAAAAAATTATCGTTTTTTGAATTTCGGTAATGCACTAAATGGTTAGAATTTGTGCTTTACTATACTTCTGTAGCTTCCATAAGCCAAATTTCACCGCGCACCCAAACAACTCGCAAGCCATATATTAGCATTACGAGCCATAATATGCCTTGGCAAGGTGCTAATTAAGTTGCATAATTGTCGGAAGTCTTTAAATGTAGGTAAACAGACAAAACCAGATTTTAAAATGAATTGAGGGATTTTGCGTGTTACATATTAATATCGTACTTGTAAACCATGTGTATATAGCTAATTTATTTACATCTGATAAACTTATCTAGCTGGGCCTCCGTACGAAGCAGCTACTGATTAAAATCTATTCAAAATTAAGGACCGCATCCTAGGACGGACATTTCAGCTTGAAATTCGTTGTTTTTAATGCAGTCTGACATAGCTACAAATTATACAACAATTGAAATACCCTAGCTAATATTTGAAGGCATAAATACAGTGACCTAACGCGCGTTCGGTAGGGTTACGAGGAGAACTAAGAGATCCCCATTTATTGGGGGCCAGGATAGATAACGCAACATCATAGTATTAGCAAAACGTGATTTATGACAAACAGCGAATTAAGGGACCCCGCAGTACCAAGTATACCTCAAGACTCCATCCTCGGCTCTGTTCGTTACGCCACTGCATGAATATCATAGCAATTTAAATATGTAGGTGCATCTGGTCTAAAACTGGAGCCGGAGCAACAAGATCCTCAGTGCCCCGCTTACAAAATTGTCTTATTTCCTTAAAAAGGTATCTTTGTCTCCCCAGATCTAAGCCATCTGGCTCGATCGTTGCTGGCATGTTGAAAGGTGGCAATTGCATATATATAACTTATGGCATAAATATAACTCATGCATTGTAAATATTTATTTAGACTCTTAATTCACAAAAAAATACTTCATATATATTGATATATGCACATTTCAGCACAATTCACTCTCCATGTATATTTTGGTTGTAATTTGATTTCTCTCGACTTGCTCCTCGAATCGGAAACGTGGAACGCGGAAAAGGCTCAAATCGTATAAATGATAGAGACTGTATGAAAGTTATGAACCTATATCAATGATGTTCATTGTGTGACATTGTTTATTACAAAAAAAATTCCGTGTTTTGTGAGGTTGAGTTTTGCGCTATGTTTTAAAGTGCGTGCAGTCCTTCCTTGCGCACAACTGGGCTGACACAAGCCCAAAGGGCAAGTTGCCAGGCTAACGTTTACAAACATTTAAGTTTGACCTTTCAGATATTTTGCTACATATATTTCGCTATATATAATTCATCAGAAAAGGAGCATTTGAATTTATCTTGCTTGGACAAATATCAGCTGTTGGGCAACAGGAAAGTTTTCACTAATTTTGATTTGGGTTCCCTTGATTAGAAATTACATTCCGGATATTAAATTGCAATTATGCATGGTCATTGCACCTTGACGCCTGCCAGCTAGAGCGGCAAAATGAGCAAATTTCAAATGGCGTCTATCAACTGTTTATGCGTACATGTGCACGCGGGTAAAGATCTTTACCAATAATTTCGCGAAGACTATCCCAAATATTTGCTGGATATTAAATCAATGGAGAAGTCAAGGCGTTTTAACACGTGCATATAAAGGTATGAACACTAAATGAAACATTAGCTATGATACAAGGAAAGTCATGACTGGGCCACTTTATTAGGGCGCTTGCAATTATTTTCCTCCAAGCCTTGAAATCAGGCTTATCGATGAAATCATCAACAGAATTCGTATATTCCCTTGAGTGTATTTGCTTGGCTAAACTGTAGCTCTCTATTGACCATGCATATATCGAAATATGACACGCATTCGAAGTAAGATTTCATATAGATGATCATGCAATTGTATATAACAAGACGTTCTCAATTGCATTTTATGTATATGTTAACGCGAGTAAAATGTATTCGGATATATTAAATGCGCACAGCAATATAACCCTTTAGATTGCTTATCATGGCCGGTGGAATCAAGTTGGGCCACGATCATCCAATCATTCCGAATAAACATGACATGAAAGGTTGCCAGACCTTCAAAATGGCTTGGCTGAGGTTAGAAAGTTGTTAGCTTGGGCCGTGGTGGTTAATACAATTTATAGGATGCATTTACTTACATTGAAAAAGCAATTGTTTACAAACTTTGCTGACATTTTTCATAAAAAAAAGGGTAGATGCTACCTCGAAATATATATAATTATATGATGTAAAAAGATTTCGCCAGACAAAATGGATTAATGCTTTCATGCATGTCTTAATTAATCTTGATTAGTTAATTTTACTGAAGCAGGAGGCACAAATTGTGTCACAAGTAGATGTCTCGAAGATGTTGAGGATCGTTTGTTTCTTAAAATGGTGAGTATAAACTCCCCTGTGCATGCATTTGGCATTGTCGTTTCTATATGGGCGGCAGCATTGCTATATGCTTTGGAAAAAAAATATTTGCACTCTGTGATTTAAAAACCCGGTTTCTATATGGGCCGTCTGCTATTGCTATATGCTTTAGTGAAAATACTGTGCAATCTCTTCTTGCTGCCGGGGTTGAGTATTAAGTTGTTTTGCAGGGCGGAACTGAATTCGGACCTTCGGGATTGCGGATTGCCGCAGTGGTTTGAAATGAAGATTTCGAAAATTATCCCATTAATTTACGCGTTCTATTTCTTTAGGTCACTATTGTTAGGCTCATGCAGGTAGCATAGGTATATTTACGCAGTTAACTATGTAAATGGTCGAATATTTGGGGGGAAAAAATATTTCCTGATGAATATAGTGTCCACCAAGAATTTAGTTAGCTAATTTAATATCACAAGTATTGATTAGCGATATACTGGTTCATAAGTCATAACACATGCATATGTGATCGTATGGTCACAAAACATATCACTTATATGAAAAAATATGGCGGCAGAAATAAGAACATTGCAGCTTTAGCTTTGCGAAGAAAATATGGCGATGGTGCATGCAGTCAATAAAATAGATTATTATCAAATTTTAAAATATTCTTAAGGTATAATGATGCCCTTAGTTGCTACTGACAGAACTGTGTATAGGCGACATTCCGCGACAAGCTTGACCGCAGCTAGAAGCTATTGCTGCACGGAACATATTGCAAGTGTGCACTAGGTAAATATCCAAGCTTATATTTTAAATATTTTATTACCGCCGCGCAATGCATTGCTAAAATTTAAATGTGGATTTGCACGTGTATAAATGGTTTGGATATTTAATGTAGTGGGCTATTTATACCAAAAAGTTTTGACAGCATGCAAGCACACGTTACTAAAGCTGGTTTGCATACAACGAACTTTGCGTATGCGATATTCTGTATTAATGTCTGGTATCATCTGTAAACACTTGATCCTTGCGCTAATTAATTTAGTCGTTTGCGCGTCAAAGAGTATAAGCAATAGTGTACAATGGAATCTCTTGTGTTTAGTTTAACTAAAATATGTATCCAGTATATAGCTGAAACTCAACCAAACTGAGACGGTGACTAATGACATTGCCTATGATATTATTATCGAAGCCAGGCCATTTATGGCAATCTTTGTTTACTCTCGGTTTAAAGCCGTGTTAATAAAACGGATGTATGCATGATGTGTTTATATGTCCTTAACCACCCATCCATACATATAGTTTGTCCGTGGAGAGATTTACAAAATCTGTAACGTTGTTGCAAATAAACACGCGCTGAATATTTTGATGGGTATAGTTGCAGATGATGCATTGATTAATTTGACATAATGATTAATTTGTACTAATAACTGAAGGCTTTCTAACGATTAATAAAACCCGAATTTTGATGCAAAATGCAAATGTGTATATGTATATAAAGTATAAAATAATGTGATTTACGTAGTTTGGCTAATAAATTTAGTTAAACATTCAAATGAAGGCATAGATTATATGTACACGCATACTTGCGCCAACACATGTTAGGTGTTTGAAAATATTTCCTATTCTTTTAATTACTCAATAATATCTTGCGTCAATCATACGCGCAACAGGCGTTCAGACTAATTTGTTAAAACCGTTCATAAACATAAATCGTTCAAACGGCTTCAGATTGAACGTTTATTTATCCGTTCGTATTCTCGACTTTAAACGTTCACATTTTTAGCTGAATTCGTCAAAACGTTTTTTGGGTTCGTTGAAACGTTATTACAGATCGTTCACTACCCGTTCGTTATCCGTTCGTTTTGCCGTTTCAACGAAATATCGTTAACGTACGTTTTCCCGTGGAAGGTCACATATATACCATACCTTTTAACAATGAAATACACACTTTGTCGTGCGCCATGCATGCTGCATGGTAAACATCGGAAAGTTCGTCAAATTTCAATATGACGAAGCACTGGATACGTTCATATTACCACAATTAAGACAATACTACAATTAAGAGAAATGTATAAATTTTGTCGTTAGTTGCCACGAGTTAGCTATAATTTATATTTCTTATGCAGTCAATCTGATATTTGACTTGCTGTTACAGATAATAAAGAATGTGTGAACTTGCGACAGGTAGGCGGATGATAGGCTTCCTCACTTAGATGAAACGCCGAGACAGCGTCCTGTTATGTTTAACATCAAATCTCTTGATCGAGAGGTCCATGAAGGGCAGCACGCCGACGTAAGTAAATTTGACTTATTTAGATTGGGGATTGTTAAGTTCCATGACAACATAACAGAGTGTTGAATCTCGCTGTCCGAAACCAAGCATACTAAAGTATATAGATATATATTTAAGAGGAAGCTACGTCTACCGAAATTCTTCGTCAAATTCAGTCAACTTTTCACTCATGTGCAATTTTCGGCCACACTCATGACTCACTCAAATTGTGTAATGTATAAAAAAGTTTCGCATGTATATTAATCCTTATTTTATTGGCCACTGAATTTGTCCCGGGATCTGTTTTACATCCCTTTATAATAATTTAGTAACTTTCGGATAATGTTTTAGTAACTTCTACTGATGAAAGATCTCAAAAGGAAGTCGATTTTTACTTTTATCCATGACCCACCGATGATTCCACATGTGTGGCTAATAATGTCCCACAAAATCTGAGATGAGTTAAGTTCGTATTTAAGGTAGGGAAATCGTGAAATCGTATCAATGAATATGCATTAATTTTACAGGGCCATGAATACTTCATCACCTTTGTATTGGACTATATGTATACTACGCAGTTTACAAAGTGGTCCCATACACGGGTCTTTTTATGGTGAATGCTCAAATAATATTCAGTTCAGCCCGACAGATTTGCTATTGCACTAACAAAAGAAATGCTTCGGGCAGAAATGGATATGTAGATATTCAACCGAGCTATCGTTTTAGTTACGCCACTGTTTGCACTAACGATCCATGTAGTATAACTCATGCACAGTTCAGAACGTTAATGACTTATTGTAATTTTCTTTACTAAAGAATGGCAGACCCCGAAAAAAACTAATAGCAAAATATATATTATATACACATATACACCGGAAGAAACATGCCTATAATTATACAGAAGGCCAGAGCATAAAATCATCATATAATTTGAGAGTAATAGTCTCCTGAGAAATGTATAGTTATTTTTAGGCTTACTCTTTAAAGGCAATTTTTTTGTACTTAATGATTTCTGTAGAAACTATTTTGATTGAATACCTCTCGATCTATTTTCATTTTAATGACAATCATACGGTAAATTAAGATCTCGAATTTTTAAAGAACTCGATATAAAGATATACATAGTCATTCACAAAATGGAAGAGGCAGAAGCAGACAGTGGCGTAGGCAGCCTAGCGATTTAGTCTGCTTTTCACAGTCAACGAACACCAAAATATTAGCATTAGACTTCCGGTCAACGTACGTGCTGTCGATAACGTCACTTGCTTAAGCTCACTAATTACCATCGTTTACATCTAAACGTGTACACGTGATCATAAAACATGTTTTAATTAGATTGAAGGTTGCAACGTTTAGGCAGTAAAGACAATTAACTTGTTCAGTCTCATTATCCAACCACTTCCCAGGTATATATGTTCTTTCTACCGTGTATTACGGAAATGCTTTACCTTGCCTGTAATAAATATCATGCAGGGGCCAGTTGTATATAAGACGTTTGTTAATTGTTAACTTTTAACGTTAGTTAATGACAGAATTGGCCAATAAGACTAGTATATTTCTGAGTTAACTAGGATTTGACTATGCCGTGAAAAAAGAGTTTTAATTAAACAACCGGCCTCTGTACTTCATGTCGGTACTTCAGTAGCTTCGAGAGTTCACTTATCCACCCACATGCTAATTTAACTTAACCAATATTAATAATATTATATTGTTCACAAAATCTCAGTTGAGTTAATTTCGCATTTAAGGCAGGGAAACCGTATCCATGAATATGTATTTACATTCTGAAAGGCTAAAATCTAATCAAAGCTGCCATTTGGAGAGCAAATTTCGTACAATAATAAAAATATAAAAGCTAATAAAATTAGTTAAAAACACGACGTTTTACTCATTAAATTCCCTCATGACACTTGCCAAGCTCACCTGAAGTTATATCAAGCGCGCCCAACGCGTGTGACATAAAACAATCAGAAACATGCAGAAGTTTCAATCTGTATTTAGCTCATCTGTGTCAGGTATCTTGCAGCAAGTGTCATCAATATTGCTCGTGTGCAAGATAAAAATGAGGACATGCGTGTTAATTAATATAAGTTATTATAGATAAAAATGTCCATGTAAGAAAAAATTGAGGACACGAAATGACGAAAACAATATCTTGATTATACCCATTTCAACAGATTCAGGATCATGCATGGACGTTATGTTTAACGTCAGATCTCTTGAGAGGTGATTGACAGCTCGCCGAAGTACCTAAGGACACGTAGGAGGTACTTAGATTTCGAAATTCACGAAAACAAAACAGAAAGTTGAATCTCGCTGTCTCAATCCAAGCACATGCGTTAGGGTTAGCATGCAGTATATAGATTTACATTTAGAGTACCGAAATTCCAGGTCAAATTCAGTCAACTTTTCACAAGTATACAAAAACATTAACTTAATTCACTGTTCTGCAAATTTGGAATACCCTCAAATTCTGTAGTGATATATAAATAAAAAAATTCCGCAGGTTAATCTTTATTTATTGAGCATTGGATTTGTCCCGGGATCTGTTTTACATCCATTATATGATAATATTTTAGTAACTTCTATACTGAAGAGCTGAACTGAAGGAAGTCGATTTTTTGCTACTGCGATCGTATATAATAATGTGGGTGATTAGGTTTTGGACATTATATGTTCACGATTTGTTGCTCTATATATACTCTCTCCAGTAATATATAAGGTATAAAATTAAAATTAAAATGTGTTGTTATATAGAAATATATCTTATTTTAATTATAACTAAAGAAGTGTTTCTCTTTCCTTTTCAGCTTTAACTGCAGATTTGAACAGTTTATACAACTGTAAAATATTTTGGTAAGTTGCTCAGTAATGTTTATATTTATAATATCATATAATTTTATATTGTTATACCACATTTTGATGCTAATTTATTTGAAGACGATACAAGGCTGCTCCCGCCTAGTTATAATGTTTATAAATATGTATATTTTATACATAATTTATTACTTGTAAAAAGTGTGTATGTTTCCCGCGTATACTATATAGCATGAAAGAAAGTTTATTGTCATAGTTGGGCTATATACGTTCATATCTGCGGAACAGGACGAACTTAGAACCGCGCGCTCGAATTCGCCCATGCATGCAGGTCAGTGTTCAATGCACGGCAAAAATGTTAATATAATCATGCATAGAATATTACTGAATATTTTTACTATATCGCGTCCATAATGTTGAAATCATGCAGTTTTGACTATAATTTAGTTGTATGTAAATCAGGATTAGTTATATTGAGTCATTTTTCTGCCTGTGTTTTGGCCCTGGAAATGTCCTATTATTCTGTCCCAAGTAGCTACATGCATGTAAATCGATAAACGCCTTAGCGTCCTTTTAGTGTCCTTTCCTGTCTTACTGTTTGACTATAATGCCTCATAGACTTCAGAGTCAACCAACTGGTCACTCTCGAAACGAGGGCAAGATTTCTTTTTGCCAGGTATTAGCGTTCAGGTATACGCTTACTTGACGTTTAACTCTCAACCTTCTTTACGAAGGTAAATAATTATGATTTAAGCCCCGAAATGAAGCATTGAATACTAATTAATATATAGATATATATAATTTGATATACTGGAAATAATGCATGCATGCAGCACAACTATCAAAACAGTGCAAAATCTTTAAAAATAGGTACGCAATGCGTACATGTGGGTAGCCTGTAAAACATTATTAACTGCGATAAAGCTGCTATAGTGGCAAGTAAATATCAACTGATGCAATCAAATATTATTTTCTAGTCTTATGTTCTAATGCCATAGACAAGGGAATAAACGCCCTATAGTTAGCTGGTTGAATACAGCTATAACGAAGTCAATTTAGTGCACAATCTATATATTATAATATTTTATTGTATTAAATTAGACAGATCAAAACATATATAAGTATTTTTACAAGAGATAGGAAATGAAATGTTTGCAGAATAGGTGAAGAGAACAAAAAAGAGAGTAAGGTTCCGGGATGGTGGCACACATCATCTGATAACATAAAGCTTAGTTTAGAAGGAGAAAAAGAATATTTGCAATATGTTTCACCATTATAACTGAAGAAGATAGTATGATTTCATTGATCCAGTAGGAAGGTACAGGTAATTTGCAATGTTGATTACAGATAACTTATCAGCATCAATTAGCTGGACATAATAGCACCAGTTCGTAGGTCCAAAAAATCTGTGTGGCTTTTTCTAAGTTTAAATTTATCAGTTGACAATATCTTATCACTGTGGTAATCAGTCCGACAATCAGTCAACATTGAGTGCCATCATTCATCACTCATATAAATGTGTATTGCTCAGTAGTAGTTACCAGGAAGGTATGAGTAGCATTTACCAGTAAGGCTACCAGAGAACTTTGTTCTTGTTTACAGTCACATATATATAACAAAGAGTCCAAAATTGTTTCAAACATTTCAGCATAACAATGTCAAAGGACTCATCTATGTATCTGAACAATATTTTAAAGATTTTTGTTCAGTTTAAATGCACTTGTGTTAAAAGTTTTGTTTTTTAAAAAATATGTTTTGTTAGTTTTGCTTTTGTTAGTTATGCTTCTTTTTAAACTCCAAAGCATTTGGTTTAATAGCTGCATGTCCACAAGCAAGAAATTGACAGGTGAAATATTGCATTATAATTTATAAAACAGGACAACTTGTTACTACCATTTGCAATAAAGTAATGTATTTGGTTTAATTGCTGCATGTCCACAAGCAAGAAATTGACAGGTGAAATATTGCATTAAAATTTATAAAACAGGGCAACTTGTTACTACCATTTGCCGAATAAAGTAATGTTTTATTTATTTTCTATTAGTGTAACTTTGTAGTTTTCGATTCAACGCTCACCGATCACCGCTTTTTTGTCTTTAAAGCACTCGGCTTCGCTTTAAAGTTTGACAAACGTATTAACGTGACTTCTACGGTCCTTCGAAACAACGAAATTTTCCGGAAGTAGAAGAACCACCGTTCGTCATCTTTCGTATATCCGACGATTACCGAAGATGTGGCACCCACACACACACAAACATCCGGACACTTTTTCGACTACATAGTGGTTAGCCGCGCATGCGCAGGCTACCCACAAAAACTAAAACTCAAATGCCGAGTAAATTCTTTAATTCGTAATTGCAGTCAGCGACATTTGCTCTAACAAATTATGCAGTGACTATATAAATTATAGTGAAGAAACATGCTAAAAGTTTTCACTCAGTTTCTGCGAATGTCGAAAATGACGATACTATATAATTTTATATAATAGGACACACTCAAGAATGATGCAGTTTATGTTTGCGGCTTTGGTCTTCCTTGCTCATGCAATGAGCATCAACGCTGGAACAAACTTTTTTTCGACGTGGAAACTTGATTGCCCTTCAGGTACGTCGTCAATTGTACACGTCATTATTTTGAATATTATTAGACTCGACTTGCAGCTCTTTCTTGTCAGCCAGTCCTTGAGACGATGTGAAGATTAAGATTAGGGTAAAGATAAAGATGAAGAGTCTCGCACTCACGAACTGAATTTAATTTGTTCATAACTATAGGTCAATCTATCAGGCATATAAGCAGTGTTCATAGCAACTATCATGAGGATCGTTCATGGACATTCACCTGCAGATCTGACCCAGTCACACAAAGTACATGTTCTTGGTCTGGATGGGTAAATTTGTTTGGCGAAATGATCCTTTATCAATGCAAAGATGGAGTTATTGCGGGTAACAGTTGAATATAACTGCCTACACGATATAAATACCTCTAAAATGACCTAAAAGGTCATTGTGCCTTGTTTGCCTAACAATCTGAATAGGGCGCAACCTCGTTCCCAGGGCGTTTTACTTTGATCCTGGGATCCCTCCCCCACACTACGCCCATGTATAACAATTAAGTAACCTTCTTTTTCCAGTTTGCAATTTTTTTCTAATCTGATCATGCTTTAAGGCCTGCAGTTTACATGGAGCGAGTTATCCCGGGCAGGCGAGGTGAAAAGTGCATCACATCAAAGGCTTAACCTTATTAGTCTTTCATTACATGCAGTTTTTTCACCTAGCTAGCCAGATAACTCTCTCCATGTATACAGTCCCTTAGACACATTTAATTACGGAAATGACATAATGGCCTCGTTGCGGTATGGCAAAGGTCAATTAACTGGGCAGAGACAGAGATTATAATCAACTAAATCACATTTTTCGTTATTATCAGCAGCCCTCTAGAGCCCGCTTACACAAGATCGCGAGGTGTTAAGTAAAGTTTATCCTTTTTTCAGGTGTGCAATCGTACCATAACAAATATCATAAAGACAGAAGATATAGCTTCAAATGCTGTAAAGCCAAAAGTTACACCCGTATTTGTACTTGGACTGGCTTTGTCAACAACTGGGATGGTTATGTGACCTATGGCGTACGTCATAATTATTATCTTGTTGGCTTATTCAGTTATCACAGCAAAGGCCATGGGTAAGTCTATTAAACATTCATTTGTCTTAGGATTTTAGATTTCTGCGTCAGATATTTCGACTTCATTTGAATTCTGGCTTGACAATGACTTTGAAATAAAGTAGAAATATATCACCGTAAAAACTTGTCTTGTTGTTAATCGCTCATATCTTGAGCAGCTTGGAAGATGCTTTTCTTTGAAGTGTGCTTTTTCTTGCATTTTCTCGTCTTTTTTATCAGGTCTACTGAGAACGAAGTGAACCAAACGAACGCCATTTTTGAAACAAAATTTTTCTCTCTACTGCAATGTGCACTTGGAATTTTCACGAGACAAAAAAACACTTAAAATACACAGTTTTCTCGTCCACCCGACATGCAATTGCAGTCAAAGCCGCAGGAATTTTTAAAATATTATCGTTGAAAAATTTAATTTTCGGCTGCAATATTATTTCTGTGGGGCTGTTTATTGCGGTAAAAATTGACTCGACCATGTGATAAAAGCTAAGCATTCGGTTTAATGTTAAGGTCCCGTTGTTACAATTTCAATTTCAAGGACATAGGATATGCTCAGGATTTGCGGTCTGTATATAAGCGCTGTTGAAATTTGATTTCTCTAGCTTCTCCCTATATCGGAACCATTTGCTAAAAAATTTTGATGAAAGACACATGACCACAAACTAAGCCAGACCGTCATCTTTTATCAAATGACGTACCCTCTTTAAGCTAATGATATTTTCAGCCAGGTATTTAACGTGAAAATACTCAACTAAAGACTTTAAAACACAAGCCTGCGCTCATGCAGGCATTAAATGTGATTTGTAATAGGAAAGAGACCGCACCTGTTCTCCAGGAGCCGGTTGTGTAAAACTATTTAACTACATTTTGCAGACGGTAAAATCCTAGTTAACAGGGATATACACAACTCTGATTGGCCAATTCTGTCCTTAACTACAGTTAATAGTTAACTATTGTCTTTTGCACAACTGGCCCCAAAACGTTATGGAATTAATATGGCTCATGTTACGTCATTTTTTCTTGTTTTTTCTTATATAGAGACAGAAGATGGAGATTCCTTACATGTTAACAATGTGGTTAAAGGACAATGTCGGATATTTCCCATGCTTGATTTCATTTGATCATATTTGGTGTTTTTGTAAGAATAATGATAAGAATAATTACATGCAACAAAAAAACGATCTCCTATGTTTTTCTTCATCTTATAGCATTAACTGTCATCTATATTGAGTTAAAAAATACTATGGCATGAGCTTCGTTCTTGTATAATCCTTGCCTCGGCTAAAATATACATAGTTTCCTATATGCGGGATTTAATGCTTAATGTCAATATTCCTCTATATGTCGACAAACATATACTTCTTGACTGAACAACCAGGCCATACTGACGTCTATAAGTCATTGGATGTCGTTGATATAGTTGTTGCATGCTAGTAATACAACCTTCATTAAACCATCTAATGATCATATGTTGCTATACAAATAGTTCTTTGATATTATTTTACAATTTGGGCCAAATATAAAATGGCATTTCATGTAAGCGAAGATCAGTGAAACATTCAAAAAATCGGGATGTAAAATTTCCTACATATAATATATATTGGACCTCCAAGTGATATTATTTTCTTGATTGAAAAACAGGCATTTGGAAACCTCTCTATCTATTATACACCATTTTGTATAGTCTGAGAAAGACGTAACTTTAAAAATATTTTGTCTAGCGAAACTCAGGTATAATTTAGCGATAAAAAAAGTTGTTTGAAACGAGCGAAGATCAATTTGGCTTTGAACCTTCGCTTCTTTAGAGCAGCGGTTCAGTGCAGGCTTCTTCAAATAAGTCAGAAAGAATAAAGGAGTGGCAGAGGAGAGGGGTGTCGCAACGAATTTTTTTCTGGAACAAGCGAAGGCACCCCAAACAATCAAAAGCATCCTATACCAAAGTCATCATGGGCGTAGGAAGCATCCAGAAATTGCGGCGGGGGGGAGGGTCACCAACTTCCATAGGCACTTTTAGTTAATAAAAAGGGCTAAAATATGTATAGGGACGGTTTCATTGCCAAAGCTGGAAGGACACTACCACTATGGTTTATATTTATGCTCTAGTTATAAAACCATTTGGGCACGTGTATAGATGGGCATACGAAGGAAACAAAAACGACAGCTTTGATTTTAAAATTGTATTTAAAAGTTTTTTGGGGGCTCTTAATTGGTGTAATGGTGCATATTTGCCTATTCTTATAAGTCTAATGAAGACATTTATATCATACAGCTATGAAATGCGTTAAATAATAAAATGACAGGACTTAGAAACATATATTTTAACATCACTAATGTTTTAATATAGCTGAAACTCAATTCAAATCTTTATCCAATTTAAGACTATATTTTATGCTTTTCAAGCGATTCTATTATCTTTTACAAGTTAATAGCCATATAGATAAGCCCTATTTTATACATTAAATTTTCCAAAAAAATTAATATTTTTTGGTGGTTGAACCACCATTAGTCAAATTGCTTTAGCTTGATTTTAAATTCAAGGTACCTGAATAACCAGTTATTGATTTTAAGTTTCTTAAGAATATTTTTAATATGAAATATGCCAATGCATGTGGTTGTAATTTATAGCTGTATAGCAATTTATTTTCTCCCACCCTGGATAAATTAACCATTGTGAACAACGATGGTATTGGCTTATAAAAATAATATACCGATGGATTCAGTTTAAAGACCAGTTACATTGCTAATACATCAAAATATGAGCTGATATTAATTATCTGAACTAACCTGAGTACGCCATAATCCAATCATATCTAAAGACCTGGGGCCGGGTGTATCAAGGCCGTTTAGCTTTAACGGCGGATTAAATAACACTCTTACATCTCTCTTGAATGAGTCAACTTGAATTTTATGCACTGAATATATAGTTGTAAACAGTATCTTTGTATTGAGGTTAAAAACATTTACTTTGCTTCTTGAATAAAACGATAGACTTGCTTTCTATTTTGAACTTAACCACCGTTTAAGCTAAACGGGCTTAATACAACCGGTCCCAGTTACATTGCTAATACATCAAAATATGAGCTGATATTAATTATCTGAACTAACCTATATAAGTACGCCATAATCCAATCATAGCTAACATAGGCATTGAAATAAATTTGCATAATTTTTCATATTGCAACAAGAGTGCCATCCTATTGCCTATCGAGGGAATTTATTACTTAAAGTGGAAGTCAAGTCCGTTCTGCACATAGGTTCTGCTCATAACAAGTGTGGGCCCTCTGATGAGAAAATTCCCTAAATTTCGCATGTTTCTTATTTTTTCTTAACATAAACTCTAGTTCATATTAATTTACAAGCACAACGAACTTAAATAGTGTTAGATATTCAGACAGCACATCGTATTTTAGAAAATAGTGAAGTTTAAAATGTAAACAAACCGTTTGTTTACATACGGACTTGACTTCCACTTTAACCTATTGAATTTTCACTCAAAGACATAGAGATCCGCCGAAAATATCATTTCTGTAAAGTTGTTTGGGATTAGCTATGTACTAAATTTACTGCCATATGCCCCGAGTTTCGGATGCCTCCAAAACCAATCCCCTAAATATATGGCAGCTAGATTACCAGAGCTTTTTTATTTCGCAATGTTAATTTATACGGCATTACTTTTTACGAGGTGCTTTCGAATTCTCATAATTAATATTATTAAAGTAAGTGTCTGTTTTATACTGCAGTTTCATCCCGAATTTCCAGTACACAACTTCTACTATTTTCATAATATGGAGCAGAAAATGGTTTGAAGTACAACATACCATCTCGGTAATCATGTTCGACTTCGTTAATTGTATTCAGTATAGTTCTATCACAATTTCTTTCGTTGAAACTCGATACGGAGTCGACACTTGATCTATAATCGTTGCAAAATATTCCAGAGTCCTGCGGTTCAACCTTTCGTCGCATATCAGGATCTAGTGCAAAATCAAACGATGTCGAACGATCTGCCGAGCCATCGCTGTTGATTGAGCTTTTCAAAGAGTGCCATTGCCTTCCAGTGTAAGCCAAACTTTTCGGATAAATATTCGGATATTTAGAATTAATACTATTTCCACAGAGACGCCTATTCTTCGGAATTGATCCAACGTCCTTATTGTTTTTTTCAAAAGTTGTATTTGAAGTCAATTCTTTGTCCATGTTTATTGTCTGCTGACTGCTCAGTATAAGGGGATTAGATTCGTTCATTGGTTCAGCGGTGGAATTATGATTATTTTTTTGAAGTACAACCTGTTTCATGACGTTTAATTCATGGCGGTTATCTCCATTTACTTGGTTTTTGTGTTCTGTATTTTTGCTCTTATCACAATTTGATTCACTGTTTGGATCGCTATAATTCAAAGATACGCCGTTTTCTATACAAAGAGGCAATGATTGGTTCATCAAACCATTTATTACAACATCTGCATTTTTTCTCGCGGTATTTTCCATCTCGGAAGAATTTGTTTGAATGCTTCCATGCCTATCGTATTTCGGATGAAGTTCATTCGAATACCCTATAATGGGTCTTTTATCAGATTTGAAAAGTAACGTGTCATCTAAAACTTCACTACGGTTTTTAAAATGGTCTTCATGTCGAGCACTTTCAAATGGATCGTTTTCATTTTGATCACTTTTATTTCCATCAATGAGTGTTTTGTTCTTTTGTGGGCTATTCCCAATCAACTCCTCGACCAAAATTTGCTGAATATCTTCATTTTCATGTTCTTTGGTATCATCTTTTGGTTTACACCTGTCATTCTCATCGCTGTGTGTTGTTAAAAATTTACTACTTGATAGTTGGTTTTTACCGATTTTCATCCGACGAAGAGCGCTGCGTTTGTTAATCATGTCCGAAGCACATTCTTCCTGTCCGCCCTTGACAAGTTTTTCATCATGAAAATGATGCTTGTCGTCGTCTTCCGCTTCCGAACCATTGTAATGTTTAAAATTGTTATTTGGACCAGGACCTTTGTCCTCACTTTCATCACTTTCACTATCGTCCGGAATTTTATCATCTCGTCCACGGAAAGACATCAACGCTCTTTGTCGAGGCAAAGCAGACGAGGGATGGTGAACGAACTTGTCGAAACCCACGTTTAGACTTGAATCCTTTTTCGAGGCCAATGATTTGTGATAGTTTGCTAAAGTCTCATGTTTAGACTCGTTGCTAGCTTTGTCTCCAATCGTTTTATTTACCTTAATCGTCTCTTCCGTAGTCCGCCTTTCGTCGATTTCGACAAAGTCTATCTCTTCACACCTTTTGTTTTCTCGATAATTTGGCATAAGATGCGGGATCGGTCTGGAATGAGGTGAAGCTTCGGCAATAACAGTATCACTCGAGTCAGTTTCTTCCATTGAGCTAGTTTCCTCGTAGTCTCGTTTGACGACGGGGGATTTATTCACTTTCTTTTGATTGAGGTCATCTTCTTGTCGAAAACGAGAGTCTATTCTATCTCCCGGAAAGTTTAAAGTTTGCAGATTTGGACAACTTGAGCGCCTAAAGAAACTCGACTCAGAGAAACATTGATCATCTGGGAACATGGACCTCGAACTAATGCTTGAAATTGGTGTGTTGTTAAAGCTGGTCATACTAGTTTTACGTGACGTTTCTTCGTCTGCTGTGCTTACTTGGGATGATATTGATGGTGACACCTGAAGCAAGTTCGACTGCAATTTATCAGGCGAACATTCGATCCTATCTTGCTTTGATTGAGCACGGCTTTCTCGACTTTTTGCAACCTTTGCTTGCCATCTTTTTCCAAGGAATCCCACCACAAATACGCTTCCTCGTCGGCCCATTCTACCTGGAAGATTCTTTCCTGAAAATCCAGGATTTGTTGCAGCTAAGGAGGGTGCACTAGTTGATTTCTCTACAGTGTAATGACCTCTTTTCAGTTTCCTTTTGGTTTTCCTCTTGCTTAATTTCCTGTGTGATTTTTCACTGCCTTCGTCCTCGTTATTTGAACCGCTCATTTGGGAGGCAGATGAGTTACAAATAATTTCGATTTTTGGTAAGGCAAACTGGTGTGAAGAACTTTGCTGTTGGTGCATTTTGTCTTCGTCACTTCCACCTTCTATTTCGTCTTCATCGAGTTCAAAATTCATAGGGACTGTGCTCGACATATGTTCACCCTCACCGTTCTGCTCAATGGCTTTATTCTCGTACGCTCCTTCGCATGTGTTCGAATTGTTTGGTTTCAAACACTTTACCAAGCCTTGAAAAGGCTCATCTTCTCCATAAAGGGATATCGACTTACGATTATTAATCTTTGAAGACATATCTTTCTGATTTGTCGCATCCTCCGATCGCCTTGCGCCAACGTTCGTGCGGCCTTCGGAATTTATCGCGCAATCATCGGAACCCCTTTTGGGAATTTCGTAGATATCGCTGCCTGAAGCGTCATCTGCAGTTTTCGATACATTGCTTTGCTTTCGGTTGTCAAGATTTCTTCCTTGATCAAATTGCCGTGGTCTAGACAAGCGTCTTCCTTTCGGACTCGTGGGTGGCTCGCTGCTGTCAACAGAACTCCCAGCCATGTCTAAAGCAATTTTAGGCCAAGTTCGCACGCATGAAACAGGACTCACGTAGCTTGCGTTCTCCGACATTGCGCTCAATCTGAGCTTAGTTGCCCTGGAACCGACGAACGGCTCAATAACTTTCAAAGCATTAGCAGCTCCGATGACAAGTGGTCGTTTTCGTTGGGGGACCTTCTGTTTCGCTTTAGCATGAGAGTAGTAGAGTGAAAAGTTGCTCACAATAACAGGTATGGGCAATGCTATAGTAAGAACACCGCATATAGCACATGCCGTGCCAACAAGCTTGCCGGTAAGTGTAACGGGCACGATGTCGCCATATCCCAATGTTGTCATGGTAACAACTGCCCACCAAAACCCTGCCGGGATGCTTGAAAATTTATTCTCTTTTGATTCATGCTCGGCGTAATACATCAAAGTTGAAAACACTACCACACCAATGCTAAGAAAGAATGCTAGCAAAAAAAGCTCACTTAAGCTTGATCTCAAGGTGTGGCCAAGGATTTGAAGACTATAAGAGTGCCTTGATAGCTTAAAAACTCTGAAAACCCGAATTAAACGGATAATCCGCAGAGCAAGTATAGAATTCATATCGGTGTTTGCAAGGAAAAGTTGGACATAAAATGGAATAATTGCTGCGAAATCCAGCCAGTTCATAATCTGTTTGATAAATTTTCTTTTGCTCGGGCAAACTACGAAGCGTATCAGTAATTCTGCAGTAAACCACACCACACAGATGATTTCGCAAATGTGAATGACTTGATGTTGAATTGATGGTGATTTCGAGAAATACTCCATGGTTTCCAAGCACGACGTTATCACAGATGTGATGATCAACAGCATGCTCACCAATGCCATTATCTGAAATAATACCAAAAAAGTTTTAGAAAGATTTTTTATTCAACACACGTTTTTTATCCAACAACACTACTATGGGAAAATTTTTACATGCTAAACTGTGTCATATTTTTTATATTTTATTATTTTTTTCTGTGTAGCGTAGCCAGCCTGCATGATAGTTTAGTCCTATACTATGTTGAATATTTTGGTGTTCATTCACTGTAAAACAATAAATGAATTTCTAAAGAAATGAATAATGATAATAATAACTTAAAGTTTATACATAAAAGGACCAATTCATCAGGCTAGCTACGCCACTGTGTTTTGCATAATTTCGAGAAGAAATGGAAAATACTTCCGATTGCGATACTAATCAATTATTGGACGAGGTGGAGCAAAATATCGTAATTTGTCGGTGGCGAAAAATTATCCAAATAATTGATCTACCAGCCGCCGATAAATCACGATATTTTGCGAGAACCAAGTTCAATAATTGTTTTATAATTCACTTATCTTATTATTTTTTTGTATTTTCCGCGTTTTTTTCTTCCAGTAAGCAATACAACTAATTTTCCGAAAGTTCAGCAAGGCGAGTAGCCATTATATTGTTTACAAAATTGAATCAAATGCGCATGCTCCGAGTATTATTTGTAGCTGGAGCAACGTTATTTCATCCCGCAGTACACCTTCATGTTTTCCACCCGCGTGTCACAGGTTGGTTGTCGAGTTCAAAACAAAAATCTACCAAATCCAAAGTAAAGAGAAGAATGGACACTTTGTTTGGACAGACGATAAGCCCGAACTTCTAAATGTTGTTGTTGAGTATATGCATGACTCATGTAAGAAAAATTGTGTATAACCCGATACTCTGACATTTTGGATATGTTTCTCGGCAATTCTCGCGTAAAATACTTTCGCGAATGCTAAAACGATTTGTGAAGATTTCACCCACCATGAGAATAACCTAACTACGACTTATTTGAGGCTAATATAGCAGTATAAAGTTGAGCATAAGCCACAAGACTTGATACAAGCCTGGTTAATATGGAAACGATCTGATACGTGACGTCATCCGTTATCCGGCGTCCACACGTAATCGCTCAGCCGTCATTTTGAAATTCTTCGATCCTGGAGAGCGTTTTCAGATTCTTCCGTTTAGTGGATGAAAACGCCGGATACGTGTGGACGGTACTCGAAAATGTAAGAGTATTCTTGCGTTTTCAAATTCCTCGGCGGCATTGTGTGGACATGGTGTGCATGTTCACAGTTCTACAGTGTACTCGCGGGGCAACACGTTTTTGTACTGTACGTGGTTTGTATTCCATTCATTTTCTCAATATACTTGCACGTTTTCGCAACTATTTTAAGTTGAAACTTCTTTTCCTGGGACACACTATATAAGATGACGTCGAATATATCCTGAGCATGCAGGTGCTTATTTACACATTCGAAAATGCATAATATGCCTTTAACTGTTAATGCCTTAAATTTCGCACTTAGTCAATTATAATCACGGCTCCTGCAATCTATTTGCATACAGCTGCCCTCAGAGGGGGCATGAAAATAAAGAGAAACAAAAATATTTTTAAAATAATAAATAATATTTAACAATTAGTCACCGAAAACGAGGTGATTGTTAGCAAGTCTGTATCAACTGCATCAGTCGAAGACGAGGCAAATAATTATACTTTTTTAAAGTTCGGTTTTCAGCCTATATTTAGCTTACTCAAAAGAATTGATACCAATATTTGAATGATTTGAATATACTACATAATATATATGGCATAATATAAACGCTGAATGATAAATATGAATTATAGCCTATTTGGAAATGCTAAATTATAAATTTGCGTTGCTATCTAACACACTAGCTGTGAATATAGCAAACACGCATTAGCCGCATTAGAACTTATATACAGAATTTCCAAAAGTGTATGTAAATATAATATGATTATATTTTACTCTGTTTGATGAAATCATATCATTATCAAGGAACAACAGACGCGCGCGTCTTTGCTCTCCCACGTTGCATGCTCTTACTCTTAGTTCTCCCATTTTTTTTATCGTAAACAGCGTCTTTTAGCTATATAGCGAGCATCAGTTCTTTCCATTTTAAAAATCTCGATTTTATATTTTGTTATCACCCCAACCTAAATCTATATCATAATATCTGAATGTTGAATTATAGCTGCGTCACTGTTTCTCCTGTGTTAGATATAGTTACCTCAGTTGATTGTGTGACAGTCAGATTAAAAAAAAATTAATGGACGCGTCAAAGACATAGACAATCAGTCTGAACAGTCTCATGTTTGCGGGATTGTAGAAGATTAGCGTCGTTTTTAAAAGACAGGTTAAATCATTGTAATGATTTGTATTTAGGGGATGAAAATACATTTTGTCACACCGTAAGTGGCCAAATCTTACATTATTAGGCATCACAGAAGAAATGGCAACATTTTTTATATACCTATTAAGTTTAAATAGCTACAATGTCAATAAAATATACCCTTGAATGCACAGTTGTTTGAGTGTGAGGGATTGTAAGCCGTGCAATGTTTTATTTATCCAACTCCGTTTATCAAAAGACAAAACCCCCCCCCTTGAGTCTCAAACACAGTTGTTTAAGGGGATTGTAAAAATTTTAGGCTGATTTAAGTTCAACTACTGAGCATACACTTAGCTACATGTACTCTGTTAATTGCAGGATGAACAGTTCAGAATAGGCATCTTAGTATAATGATATAGCTAGTTTAGTTTACTTTAGCTTATAATTTTATGTCTCATCTTGTGGCAACACAGGATCATTAAGAGATGATCCTAAATAATGAAATAAAAAATCGCTTAAAAATAACATCGCTTGCACACGCGAGGATATAGTCGACCGACTAAAATCGCGTACAACAAAAATCGGTTTGTGTGCGCCAGGCTTTAGAGACAAAATAAATAAGAGAGCATAATTCATGTAGTTTATATAGTTATTGAGAAATACTTCAACAACTTCTTTTCACTCGCATTTAATCTTTTGCATGGCTTATAGTTAAAAGCTTACCCTCAGCGGCGTGGCTCTAGAACGATATTTGGGGGCTGTCTATTGTTATAAATTAGTTCTGTCCAACGGATTTATTTTCTAAGATCAATGGTTTACAATAGAGGGCAGAACTGAATATATGAATAAACACCCCCTAATTATCGTTCTTGCTGCATGTGGCCCTAATCTAATATGTCAGTTCAGCCAAATAATTATTTATTATTGTATGCTACGTCATTACGATTCGTGCACGCATGTATTTATCAGCAAATACCCAATAGGAAGTAAATACTATATACATTTTATGGAATAAAATTGGCCATAAGGAGCACCTAATTCAACTATTATAAACTCACCCAACATACGTGCATGGGACGCGTTTTTATCTAAGCGACGAAATTTTCAGAAATTAAAATTAAATAAAAACGTGTTATGAAAGGAGCTTATTGCAGATACGACGAAGATAAATCAAAATGTATCCGCGCTTCATGTCAAAAAATGTAAATCAGAATCAAAGTTATCCGACAGAGAGAAACAAAAATATTCGACGCGTTGGCGGTCGTCTCCGGTACGTGTGGGCTGGAAAGACACGAGATATTTTCGTGATAAACAAACGCTTATCATGCATCGATGACGGGGTATGCATTTTTCAAATTAACCTCAGAATATTCCGGGATTTAATATTTCTGAACTTGGTTTTAAATCACATTGCTTGGAGAAGCTTTGCAGCGTCGTAAATATACAAGAAAACCAGCGTTCCGACCTTCTTTAATTTATAAGACGGATCCTTTGACCAAAACATAGAGACTTCAAGCTATTTGTAATAGAGATTTGATAAAAAATTACCGTTATTGAAATACACTAGAATCTCGTGGATCCTTACATGGTTGTCCGGGGCCGTTTATTTATGACTTAAATCCTGTTGTTATATAGGTTCTGTGTATTTTAAATGTGATTGGTTCATTCGTAGTCACATGACTTTAAATAATTGCAATGTTTCCCGCCAGGGAAACAAGTGAAAAATTGTTGCCCGCTTCTTGTAATAACAATGTAAAGTGGGTTTTTTTAAACGTTTTTGTTCCTATATAACAAAACACTCGATGCACACTACCTCGGGAAATAGTGAGTTTTGTTTTTCCTCGAGTCTTAATGTTTCCCTCGACGACATTCAGACTCTTGGGAAAACAAAACTCACTATTTCCCTCAGGAACATGCATACCTTAAGTGTATATTATTTGAGATTGAACCAAGCGTGAGAGCATTTTCGGGGCATTAACAGACCAAAATTGGACGGCTTATACCCAGAATCATTTTGCATACTCAAAGCCATTCCTTGGTTTGATTTCCCTCCACCGTGCATTAAGGAAAATGGCAAAGAAGAACATTCGGGAATGTTTTTCTAGTTTCTTCAAATTATATCATTGTTTTCGACCGAACTATAGTTTTATCAATGTTTACCTTGACCGAGAGGGCATGATTAGTTATAATATTATATTTTTTTCAAGTGTTTACCACTTTCGCACTCAATTATATTTTTGACAGTTTTGAAGTCATGCAGATCATTTTAAAAAAGTGCAGACCCGTACTGTTTTCGTCTTTAACAGATATTTTGCAAGGCAATGTAAATAAATAATATCCGTCTTTGACCAATAGATGTTCCTATTCCCTCTCCATTCCGCTATGCTATGCACAAGAAGCGATAAATGCCTTTTAGTCACTCAGTCTGCCAATATATGAATCATTGCCTTTGTCTATATCATGTAAAAGCACTTTTTCCTGTCTGAGAAATTGCTCATCACAGCAGAAAATTCAGCAAAAAATTCCTCGCTTGAAATATAAGCTTTAAATTCAAAAGAATCTATACTTCAAAAAACTAAGCAGTTCTGATTCAAGAGTTGACCACATTTATATATGGAGCAATTTTTACCATTCAAAATTATAAAATTATTCGATGAACCTTTTCACATATATACAGGGGTCGCGTTCATGAAAGTTGCTTCAGCCTAATGAACAAGGCAAATTTATGTAAAGCACTGGGACAACATTTGCTCGTGTTGAGTTTTAACACATCATGCAGCTTGTCTCATGACCCCTGTAGACTATCCTTCCTCTTGCGTTTCATTATCCAGACAAAATGGAAAACGAATCATCAAAATTAATATGCATTATTCTACTGTCTTAATTTTCATTTTCATCGCTCCAATGCCAGACATGTCATTACACGAAATTTCGGTCGTGTAATTAAATGTGAATTAGTTCATTCACCTTTAGTCTAAGAGTGAAATTTATACTGAATCATGATAATTTAAATTCCTTGTTATTATACGCATGGCTCTGGACACCCAACCAACAAGAATAAGACAAGTTTAAACTTATAGCATATAGCAAAATGATATTTGCAGCTCAAATAGTATACTTTCAATTCGTTAAATATATTGAAAAGCATCGTAAATCTGGTGAATCTACTTTATTTTCTCCAAACTTAGAAAGTGATATAATTATCTCGCTGGAAGACTATTTTAGATTAACCTATAAATAGGACTTGCTCTGTCTTGACCAATATTACTCAAGCGACTTAAGCTAGTGTACTGTCTTTGGCACTCTTTGCAATAATATTGCTTAATTCAAAAGCATCGTCAATCTAGTACTTGGCTTTCTCTAAACTTGTAGTAAGTTATATAATCGTTCTCGCTGGAAGATTATTTCAGATAAAACTATGAATAGTACGTGCTACTGAAGTGTATTGCCTTTGCAATATTGCTTAATTCAAAAGCATCGTCAATCTAGTACTTTGCTTTCTCTAAACTTATAGTAAGTTATATAATCATTCTCGCTGGAAGATTATTTCAGAAAAAACTATGAATAGTACGTGCTACTGAAGTGTATTGCCTTTGCAATATTGCTTAATTCAAAAGCATCGTCAGTCTAGTACTTTGCTTTCTCTAAACTTAGTAAGTTTTATAATCGATCTCGCTGGAAGATAATTTGATTTAAATAAATGAATAGTACGTGCTCTGATTCAGACCGATATTACCCCAGCCATACTGAAGTGCAATGCATGTCTCTGCATTAATATTGCTTAATTCACAATGATTGGAAGTGAGATAGTGATAAAAAATGACTGGATACGTGATCCCCAAACTATATACTTTCGAGTCCGTTTAATATTTAATTCTACTTTACGCATGCTACGCCTCGACCTGTTCCGAATTTTGCATTTGAAAATAAGTTAATTGCACTATGAAGACTCTGCAGTTTTGGCTGTTTCTTTCGACTTTTAATTGATGTGAACGAGCAAATAAGTCACTGTTGTGCAAATAAAGGCACTTATACTTCCGAGCAATCAAACTGTCAAGTCGCTCACATCCGTCAAAAGAGAAAATCACATTCAAAATCGAGGAAGCATAAATTGCACTTTACAAGTGTGAACAGAACTAAAGCGTGATTTCCGTGTAGGTCATGACTGACCGTCGGCTATGCCTCTTATCTGAGAACAATGAAGGATATAGTGCTTTTTTATTCTGAATAAAATATCTTCGTCAGAGGCCCCAAACAAAACATCACCGACTGTCGGTAATGAACTGAAAAACACGCTTATAAATTGGTTTAATTCATGAATCATAGATGCGTGGCTTGCATGGTCTTGTAGATCACATGTTGTACATACTGTACATATTATTGCACTTCTTACGTTATGTAGTGCTCAACTTACAGCTATTTAATATTTATACGAAATATTAATTGAAATTAAAACACAACAACATGCATATATATAACTTCATCATCTATATAATATATACAAGAAGAACCCGGACTTCGTATTATATATGACATTTTGATGAGGTTTCGCGTCATTAAAAGAGTGAACATCGAGTAATATAAACTTAATAACATAATATAATATAAAATATAAATCGATGAATGTAAATATATAAAAGAAGCTTGCATGGATACGCTAACTAGATAATCGCTAGTTTACGAAATATCTATTGAATAAATGTACAGCATTTAGTATCTAGCGTGTTTTGTACGAATAATCTTGTTTGTTTAAGACGGTTATTTCAAGCAGGTAATGAATCATGTTTATGTAAAGAACGTATCACTTTAACTGAGTTCGCCTTCGTCAGCGCGTATTTTAACCGAATGCGAGGCGCCAAATCGTAAACAAAATCAAAAATTTTGAATCAGAATAATTTCTAACATATGTTCTACAAAATAACGGCGCATTAAAGATAATTATTACCTTTGCAGTTAAAGAGCTCGACGGCTCCTCCAAAGTTAGCCATATTCTTGATTTATACCTGCGTAAAACCTGTCTGTAGCTTCGCAAAGGTAACCCGTCCTCTCCTTCGTCGTGGAAACTATATTCGTGTTCGCTCGCAGCTTCTTCTACGATCTTATCAAATGAACTAAGGTTCGCTTGGGCTTCCCCGTGCTTTTTATAATTCATCCAACAGCATGTCTCAATACTAGCGTCTTCTAGTCCCCAAAAAGCCAGTTCCTCCTCGAAGATCGGTCCACAAACGTCGTTCGGGCAGTGCAGTTTTCCCGTGCGATAGTAGTTCAAGATTTGAGCAAAAACCAAGGGGTGACGGTCGAAAAAAAACTCACCCGAATTTGGATCAAATTCAGGCATTTGCGTCGGATTATTGTTCGTTAATGAGTGCAATCGTGAATCAGGTATGTTTCTCAATGTGCCGACGTAGGTCTCATGCCTTAAACCGCCAACGTTGAGAATCACTTTATTCCTTATTCTCACAAACCGTTCGTTATCGTCTCCTTCGCTTCGTAACATTTTATCAGAGGAGTTTACTTCGGCAGGATCGATGAACTTTTTTCGTTTACATCACTCGTATATTCTTTATTCCCGGCTGAAATGGCGAGTCATAATAAAGTTCTGCTGATTTATTCAATTACAACTTAGCTAGTTTTAAATTCATATTTACAACTAATGACCTGCTGCTGGAAAAAACGAATACGAGGTGTCACTTTAGTTGCCAGATGTTTTTCCGCTTTTCCATTGTAAGCCTTCTAATCACCGATATTTTCTTTCTCGATATTTTCAGCTGGCGAGGACCGATTTGATTCTCTGCGCGAGTTTTATAGTTAGACAGTAATTTTTTCCCCAAAGCAATACTTCGCTTTCACATTTGCTGTAAGGTGATCAACATGTTTATCTTTGATATCAAAAACTTGCATGCGTAGCGGCTCTGTCGTCCACTTGATATCATCGATGCGCATGCGCATGTGGGAAACATCTGCCATTCATAGTCAGTCGGAGGCTAATCTCAGTAATCGTATTCAAAACCTGTTTATATTTCTAGTATACGTGAGTCGCTACATTTTCTCAATATTTTTAGTTTGCCTCTTACTTCTAAAAACCGGGCATGTGGGAGTAACAATTTTGACTTAGTTAAGCGTAATCCCACACACGGGTTATTCTAATATGACTCGCCAAAATGACTCGCTCCCTCCCTAATGTTCATTATTCTCTTATCGTGCATGGAATCACTCTCAGCGCTACTCTACATGTAGTTTATGGCTAGATTTTTACATTAATTTCGATGACGTTTCATTTTAAGTATTCCTCCCTATATTTACATTCATACAATAAAAAATATTGCGTTCTTTGGTTAAGATGTGTCCAGTATGTTTGACTATGTTTATTATTCAGTTTTACCCGCTTCACTCGATAGCCTTTGCAAAATAATCCTGGTTTAAACCACGCATATTCATTTTGACGCTGTCAAATCGAAGTGCGATGTGTCAAGGCTATGTTCAAGTCAAACTGTGCATGGCCATGGGCGTTCGCATTTGTGCAATTTATTTTTTACTCCAGACTATTCATTTTGCCACAAATATCATGATGTTCTGTGATGTTTATGCCGTGGACGCAGGAAAAATCAGATATAAATTAATGATATTAATTTTGAGCTTTTCATCAATAGATGGAAACGTCAGTATGACGACATCATCAACTATGAAACGATTGTCTTTATTCATAACATTGAGCAAAGGCTGACTATTGGCTCGATAGACATCGCGTATTTGTGGTCGGAATAAATCAACCATGGCAGACTATTATGCAGTACTGGCCGAAAATTTTGAAGAGAGATGAAATAAATAAATTTCCAATGGGCATCATAACAAAGTCGTCTGCTTGGGACTCGATATTTGACTCCATGTTTTAACGGGCTCTTTTCATGCGGTTGTGGATCTAAAGTCGTGGGTCGTGGGTTTGTTTTCGTGGGTCGTGGGTTTGTCTTTGTGGGTCGTGGGTTTCCCTTAGTCACCCGTGTGTTTGCGATCGTGGGTTTCTGTTCGCAGTTGAATGATTGTCGTGCACCTGCAGTCGAGAGTCGTGTGTTTGCACTGATTGCGTTCGGTTATTAACGGCAGCGCAACAATTGAAAGCAAAGACTGTGTTTGGTAAACTAAAAAATATATTGCATTGGATCTCTTACTCTTGCTAGTTCGAGGAACCATAAAAAAAGAACATTAATCTGATGCTAATTTACTTCTAGAACAAAGCTAATATAATATAGTATTAGACGGTTGCGAGAAAATATGGATTTTATGTTCGAGTGGGAAAAACAGTACCTCACGAGTGAGCGCAGCGAAGGAGAACATAAATTCATATCTTCTCGCAACCAGTTATGATTTTTGGCACTTTACTCGATGCAAGTAAGGTATAAATTCAAAGAGTTCAAAGGGTCTTAATTTGCTCAGTGCATGGCAAGAGCACCGTCATCGCAAAAGCGTATATAGGTTCCATTCCTGCCTGAGGAGCGATAGTTGACTTATTTTCCAGCAACTGTTCCTGGCTTGAATTTGAGGTGTGTATAATTCTACTCGAAATTAAGACTCTTCTCGAAACCGTTTAATTTTCTGTTTATTATAATTATTATGGACAAAATTCAAAGTGGCAAAAATACACACAAAGACGACATGTAAATAAGCTGGCGCAAAAGACCATTACAGCTATTGTCCGTACGTATACAGGGTGTCTCAAAAAAACGCAACTGAAATATGCAAGAACATTAATACAGCTCTAAAGTGCACCTCTGGGAATTGAAAATGGCTCTTAATCCTTTATTTACAATGCTAAAAGTCATTTTAGCTGAACTATGGTGCAAACTCGAAAAATATTAATATTCTTGCATATTTAGGTGCATGGTTGCGTTTTTTTGAGACATCCTGTATACACTAACGTAAAACATAAAACCTTCTAAGTTGTTGTATAATTAATTTTGTGCCAGAAAAAACACACCGGCAAGTCATCAACAGAAACCAACCCTACATGCAACCTTTTAATCTTTGATTTCAGTATCATTTAAATTATTTTAAACTCTTATGTGCGTATACGCACGTATACAAAAAACGCGACTGTGGTAAACAGTCCTTAATGAAGCGTTTAAATTCCAAAACGAGCTTTATTTCAATAGGGGGTACTCTGTACTGGGTGTATAAAAAAAAATTCGAATCGAAATTTTGCGTGTAATAATGCAAAATGTATTTGACAAATTTGGTTGATTTTTACACCATTGTTAAGTTCATTTATTTCTCTTTCAAATGACACGTTGTACGTGTAATTTAGTTGAAAAATGAAGAAGTACTGGTTCGACAAAAAAAGTTCATAAAAATCACAATTTTCCGCCGATGGGAACTGGACGTTTGTTTTATTCAAAATTAGTCCCAAAGGATTAAATTTGCATTTTCTTTTGTCTGGAGGTCTTCATTTCGAATTCCCATCGGCGGAAAAATCTGATTTCGAGCAACAATTTTTAAAAGACGATAACTCGGCCAGTTTTGGTCATGTAGATATAAGAACGGTATAATCGTAAACTAAATAAGCTAATCTTTGTTGCTATATAAAAATTATATCGTTTGCTTTAGTATTTTATACACAGCGGCTTGTCAAAGTTGGATTCGAATTTTTTTTATACACACAGTAGTTAAATATTGCGTTTTTTTAATACGCCCCGAAGTACATTCAAATATTAGCATACGCACTGATTTTCTCCATCCAGATTATATTAAGACTGTAATACACGTCAATTGAATATTAGGACTTTCAATCTTCCTCGTTCGCTCTAATTAATTAAATTACACCTTTCCCTTGACATTGCTCGGAAAACAAAGAGCTGCAGTCACGATTTCTGCCAGCTGGTTGAAAGAAGTTGCATTTCTCGCAACATTCCCGGTTAAAGGTTAGGTCTAAAAAAATCGTTTGTTTCTGTTCTTTGTTTCTCTTATCCCGAAAAGTATCGCTCTAGTTTTGGTCCTGCGTTGAGTCGAGACGTTTACCAGGATGGACAAATCCAGCGTTGTTCCACCGGGACATTTACACCCGGGACGTTGCTTTTTAACACGGAAAAATTGAAATATAGAGAAGGTCTTAATTGTACTGCCGGACCGGTTCTATTGTTTTAGCTAAATTAAAGCTGTTCTTAATCTTCTGAACTCTATTATCATTAGTATTCTTATTACTAGACTGTGTTGTTTGTCGCTTTATATTTGAACATACGAGACAATTATTAAGGCGTGCTTCTGTACCCTCCGGAATTGAACAGTAAATTTATAAAAGTAAATAGACCGGAAATACGTCATAGACGTATGAGAGCATGCGGTATGTAGATTTTGAAATTTGAAGGAGAATTGAGAAGCGATAGAGATTTGAGATTTGCAATCGACTAATAGTAGCGATAAAAGCGTGATCTACACTGTAAAAATCGAAACAAATAAAGTTACACAAAACACAGAGAGTGAAGGTAACATTTTGGGGGCTCAGGCGGGAAACCTAGCGATGTATTTCGGTGTACTTGGCGACTAGATGAGAGTGCAAAGTATACAGTATACAGCGTGAACTCTGGGAGATATTATGGCTACAGCTGAAGAAACAGAGATCATTTTGGACGGTAAATTGCTGGCGTTAAGTGTTACCGAACTGACTGAATTTGGTTTGTATCTGAAAGTCGATAAAGCGATGATCAAAGAAGGACAAACAAAGGTAAAAATTATTAAAGTAATTCGAGCCGAACTCGAAAAGATAATAAATATGCTCGATTCTGACGAACAGATTAGCGAATATTTACAAGGTTTAATTGATTTTCTCGACAAAAATGCTCAACCTAAGCAGTCCGGTGAGGGAGATAACATGGTAGAGTCTACGGCCGAGCTAGAAAAGCTCGAAATAGAGTTAAAATTTATTAAAAACAAAACACTCCGAAAATGTCCCCGAGTCAAGTAGAAGCAACCCGATTGTTGCTGACACAGCAAAAATACCTTTGTTTGGGACAAACGCGCTTTCATTTTCACGAGAAAAATGCCACTGAATTGTATCAAGCGTTAACGAATATAGTCCAACAGCCGAATTAAGATTCCCAAGCATTTCTGATGAGAGCACTAACTATCAGACAGAAAATTGTATTCGCTTCAAAGGAATCAGGTAGTGAGATTAAATATGATAGTTCTTCGGTACAAAGTTTGTTTCTACACGCACTCGAAACCGGTCTTAAAGATGAGACAATCCGTGCCAAACTTCGGCCTTTAATATCAAAAACTGATGTATCTGACGAAGAATTAATGGAAGCAATGTTTTTGGCGGTGTCGGCAGAAACAGATTGTAATAAGAAGTTTAATGTAGCAAGCCCAGCAAAAAAACATAAAAGCGCGTGTCTCGGCAGTTCAAAAAGAGGAGGACACAGAGAGGACAAGAGATTTTAGCAGCTATTTAACAAGTCAAGACTGACTTATCGACCATGCAGAATGAGATGAAAACACTCCGTGAGACGGTGCAGAATCAAAATCAGGGCACAGCAAAGGCGACTCGGAAGTGTAAAAGTTGTATGGGGAATTAAGTCACATTGCTGGGTATTGTAGAAGAGGAAAACAAAAGTGGTCGGGAAACGGACAGAGGCTGAACCCACGGGACGGAGTGTAGCTGATGACAAAATAAATTCGTCCCAATGCAGTAATTGTACAAGATCGGACACGGTATTGACAAGTAAAATGTTGCAATGTTCACGGTGTAAATCTGTACTATATTGTTCGGAAGAATGTCAGCGACATGACTGGCCAAAGCATAAGGACTTATGCAAGACCATTGGGATGCTGAAAAAGATAGAACAAGTAGCCAACTATGTTTCCCTAGGAGATAGTTCAGATGATCAGGTTTACCCTAGTCACTTGTCACCTAGACAGCATACTCGTGTCGCAC